TTGTTTAAATAATATATATATATATGAAATAGTGGCCTAGCCAGGATTTATCCAAAAACAAAATTTTACAGAGAATTTCATTATAGATTTTATTTATTATTAAAATACTATATAAAACTCCCATTATTTAACCAACTGTGTTGAGCACTAAGCGCTCTTGTTTGTCTGATTAAAATTTGAAATCAATTGCTGCTAAAAATAAATAAAAATTATTACATAAAGATATCTTAATAATATATTATTTTTGAATAATTTTAATATTATAATTAAATTAATATTTTTTTTATAAAACGATCTTATATATTCTTTTTGTATAGTTTTATTTTACTATATATTGCCGGAAAAAAATAAATGTTATTTTTGTATATATTTAATTTTCTTAAGTAACGAGTAGCCCGTTACTTTTTTAAAAAGTCGGTAACGCGCGTTCCTTTTTTGAAAAGGTAACGAGTAAAGGTAACGCGTTCCTTTTTTCAGATATAACGAGTAACGGTAATGCGTTTCTTTTTTGTAGTAACGTTTATAGCACTAATAAATTTAGATATATTTTAAAAAAATTCCAAGATAAAATCCGACCCGGCCTAAATTATTTTAAAAAATATTAGGCCCGGCCCTAACCCGATTATCGGGCCGGGCCTAACTTTGCAGATCTCTAGTTGGAATCTATCTAAACAAATTATAACATTGTGAAAATTTTAATTTAATTATTTGGTATATTTGGGTGGAAAAATCCATGAGAATTTAATAGAAATAATTGATTTAGAAAATATTTCTGCTGAAAGTATTATATATTGGATTTCAAAACAACCTAATAATTTAAAGATTAATTCATCAAATATAATAAAATAGATGCATGATGGCACAAGAGAAAAAACTTTGCTCCAAAAATAATAATAGAAAGGTATATGGGGGAGGGGGGGGGTTCAAAAAAAACGCCGTACCTGCAATTTCAGAATTGGATGATATTGGCATTTGACAAAATATTTATGACACTATCAAAATTGGCGGAAAATAATCAAGTACCTCTATCAGATCTGCAGAGGTACCATTATCACGGCCTGGCCCCGATTTTTTCTTAAAAATATTTTTTGGCCTGGCTCATATTTTTTTAAAATATATTATATTTATTTTTAATTTTTATAGCTAATAAGGGCGATTTGATATTTAAAAAAAAAATTTAAACCTGGTAATGAGCCTGCCTTATAGCTGGGAGGTCTCTGATCTCTATATAACAAGGAAGGAGATTGTGCTATGAAATTTTCCAATAGTCATTTTTTTTATATAAAACTGTATTCTAGTTTATCTTATATTTTTTTATATAAAACTGCCTTCTAGTTTATCTTGATGTTCCTAATATTCTGAATTTATCTTCTCCGTTTAATGGCGATTTCCAGGTTGATCCAGTTTCCCTTGATTTTTCTTTTCCATTTTTGACAGTTCTGAGAATCAATATGTTTAAGATTATTTTTCTCATACCCGACACTCTCAACTTTATCTATGTCATCTTAGACCTTCCCCGAGGTCTTGATCCTCCACACATCCATCTAATCATTCTCATCTGTTTTTTCCAATTTGGCTTTGAAGGTCACTTTCATTGCTCATGTTTCACTGCCATAAACTAAAAACTCCTGACACAGCTTATGTAAACTTCCACTTTAACTTCAAGGAGACGTTTTTATTTGTTAGAATAAATGACATCTCTTTGAATTTCTTCCATGCTTGTCTGACCCTTGCAACAGCAGAATCTACACCACCATCTGTGTTTAGCAGATCACCCAAATAGCAAAGCTTTTCCACTTTTCCCAGGTTTAACCCATTGCCAACATCCAAACCACCATTTTCTATATAATCAATATTATGTACCCCTTTTATGCATGTCATTTGCTAACATAAGACTTCACTTTTCCTGCTACATCTTTTATTCACCCATTTCTGGCACCTGGTGCATTGGATTAAATTTCTAGCAACTCCTTTCTGGCATTAACCAAAAGGCCATTTGCAGGATATCTCCATCTTCAGATTATCCCTACCAATCCTAACCTTTGTCTTTAGTGCATTCATTCTCAGAGCCTTTGTTCCATAGCCATCTACTAATTTCATCCTTCTATTCTTCCTCACTGTTTGCCATTAATACAAGGTCATCTCCATATAATTGCTCACATGAAAATCCTTCACGCATCTCTCTAGCAACCACATCTTACTAAAATAAATAATAATGGACTCAGCACTGATCCTTGATGAAGTCCTATAGAGAATTATATTCTTAAAAGCAGCCAAGACTTGAGATCTGTAAAATTTGACACATGGAATACTGAAACAAGGGTTGAGTTAGGAAGATTATTATTTTGGGGATAAATTAGGAGAGATTTTTTAAAAAGGGCTAGTAAAGAAATATTTTTCTTCTATAATTTAATCATAATTAGTGATATCAATATATGGAAATATTTTATGTTCAGATAGGGCTAGGTATTTTTTTAAAAAACATTTTCTCCTATAAATCAGGCTGAAATAATTGGTGCCTAGCAAGTCCCTAGCTCATCCTTTTTTTTTTATTTTTTAGATTTTAATATAAGGTGACAATATCTATAAAATATATAAGAGGTACATATTCTATTTATTTCAATTCAGTCAGCTATTTAGAATTCTAAACAGGAAAAAAAAGGAACATAGCTGAATAGATTTTCAATTTAGAACATTCAAGAAATTATTTTATATATCTCATACATAACAAGGATCTATTAATGGGTATTAAGGCCATTTTTAAATAAAAGCATTCTTAGAAGATTTGAGCATATTACATGTAAAGGGATGATTAACTATACATTGTTTTTAAGTTGAATTTTCATAAAACATGTTTTATAAAGGCTTCTTTTATTAAAATATAAATTACACATACAAAATATCATTTTTTATAAATTTTGCTTAACAAATTTTGATGAAACCACAAAGGTCGAGGTTTATCAATTTCCACAACCCTTAACATTTTTCCATTAACAAATTTAAATTCTTTATTTTGATTTTCATAAACATCATCATTGTTATATTTTATATGAACATCCTGTTCAATGGGTTTATATTCATTCAATGGATTAATGTGTTTTAAAACATTGTGAGTTTCATATTTAACTTTTTGATAGCAATTTTCTAAAAAATAGATAATATAAAATTTTAAATAAAATTATTTACCACATAAACAGCCCTTAAGATGAAAATGACCACAATCAAGACAGGTTAATATATCTTCTCTTGGAGAACATTTATATCTAGGATGAGGTCCATGCTTTTTTTTCCATCTCATATGAATAGATTTTCTATGCTTTGGGACACCCCATAAAAAACCATCTAATTTTTTATCATAATCGTAATTTTTGTCAACGATTTCTAAAGCACCAATAATATCTAAAAAATTTTTAGCAACAAACATATATTGTACAGTTTACTAAAGTTTTTGTGAGGAAAAAAGATACTTTCCAATAAATAATCCAATTTAACCAAAATATTTCTAAAAACAGTCATGAGAAAAATAATAACCTAACCTTATAATAGTGATGTAAGGTAACGTCGATAAAAGTAACATAGTTAATAACGATGTTATATTTTTTTAAGGAAGGGGAATGCCGTACGTTGCTTGTTTCAGAAGCAGAGTGGTCAGGGAAAAATTTTAGAAATTAAAATATATAAATTTTATAAGGAAAAACTAACGATCTTTACTTTCCAATGTAAAAAATAGATTATATTATGCTAATAATTAAGGTATAAAATATAAAAAAAATATGCTAATATTTTTTAGTTATAATATTAATTATATTTTATTTATGATTTAAATATTAACTAAATATTTACCGCCTTTATTAGATATTTATAGGCAGTCCTCATCAGGCTAAAAATAGGTTCTGATGAGGCATTTAAATGAGGTAAAGATAATACAAGATCACATATTTTTTCCAAACATGGGAATTGTGAAAAATTTCTACCCATTTCTCTTCTGCTTTTAGGCCATCTAAATCATAAAATATTGAGAGCAATAAAATCTCCTCAAACGAGTCATCAATTTGAAGATTCATCAATGTTTTAAATTATATTTAAAGATTTTTATCATCGCAACATATGTTTTTCAAATTTGATCTCATCGCTCAGTTATTTAGTTATATATCTACCAATTTTTTTTATTTTCTAATTTACGCAATGATATATTATGCGTCGCTTGAAAGAATCACGTTTACTACAAAAGGCCTTAATAAATCCCATAACGCTTATCATGTAAAAGTTTATATATATAGTACGATAAAAGTAGGAAAGAATTCGAATAAATTTATATGATATCTTTTAACCTTATAATTAAAAGAACAATTAATTGTCCATTTATATTATGATTGAACAGTAAATTCATAATAACTCTAAATTTAAATAAAGCTTCTAATTTCATGATTTAATAGTAATCGAGTCCTTCTTATATTTCTTTTAAAGTTAAATATATTTCCATTTATTAGCTGTATACTGTGTTAACCAGCCCTGCAACTAACTAAACTAAACTCGTGTATTCTATTTTTAAAGTCCAATGTGACCTGATAATTTTTTTTAATTGGCTGTCGACTATAGTACTGTTTTTCTCCTTTCATAGTCTGAATCAGCTAGAATAACTAGCTTTAAATATATATATCACGGGCCACGGAATGGCTATCTTAAAAAAAATTAGTGAAAATTTTTACGAAATCTATTGGATATTTACAGGTTATTTACTATGATTCGGGAAATCGCAATTTCGCGAAAAAGTATTAAGGCTTAAGTTATAATTGGTCTTACCAAAAATAATTTAAAATTGATATCTTTATTGGTTCTTAAATGATTGTCACAATATAAATAGGGATTTTTTTTGGTTCAGATAACACTACATCAATTTTCTTATTATTATTTGGGAATTTCATATTAAAAAAACAACAAGATTTGAATGTCTAAAAGTTTCATTTGTCAAATCTTTCTGGAGAGCCGATATATAAAAAATAAATAAAAAGAAAATAGTTAAATTTTCGCTTACAATATTTATTTATTATAAAAATTTCCAGGTTAATTTCCTACAATCTGAAATTAAGAAGTAAATTTTAAAAATAAAACCATCAAGAAAATTTTAAATGAATGAAAATACATTCAAACAATATTTATTTCTATTTTTTTCTTTGAACCAACACGCAATCTTTAGAAACGATATTTTTCTTCTATTTTAAATTTCCGAGGAATTCGCTTTTCTGTCTCTATCTGGCGTACCATTTTTTAACATGAGATCTGGGAAATGTTTTGACCAGCGAGCACAATTCGTAAGTGTATCGAACGCAATCGTAATCTGGCCCGCGAATATTATTAAGGGTGGAAGAGATATTGGATACGTTTCCGGCGTAAGCCGAATAAAGAGAGCTTACAACTGATTCGAATGGAGCTATGTAAGACTGACCCACGGTTCGTCGAAATTGAATCAAATGATGCAAGCGATCGGAGAGGGTAGAAGAGGTAGTTTGTTGTGACTGTGTAAAATAAAAGTTATACGTTTTACATTTTCGATGAATGATATTTTAAAAATTAATTTGGAGAAGTTGTATCTGTATACATTATTGCTTTTGAAAAGTATATCAACTTTGGAAAGGTAATAAAAAAAGTAATAAATTCCTATATTTTAAGGTTTTCCCGCTCTTTCAGTTTTGTTTTCCTATCTCATCAATCTTATAATTTAAATTAATAAAATTTCATAAAAAAAAATATGACAATAAAAATCCGCCAAATATATAATTTGTAGATTTTGCGGTAATAATATTTGCAGATTTGTAATGCTTAATGAATCAAGAATCTTTCATTCATTTGAGCAATAAAAGTATCCAAGAGGAGGATAAAAATGATTTTATTTTATAGCACTTAACGATGGTCTTGCTTTGATGCAAGTCGAAGTAGACAAATAGCTCTGCTTTTGACTCAACAATGACATTTAATTTTCTAAGTCATCTATATTTGCCCTAATTTACTTAAGCTCCAATATATTATTTATAGTCTCAATCAAATCGATGCGATTTTTTTCAAATACATTGCAAAAAATACTTGAGTAACTAAATAATTTGTAATACATTATAATATAAAAATAAAAATTTGATTTTAGCATTGTGTCCAATAATCTGTCTACTTCTGAAGAAATGTCTTTTTCAGATCATTTCTAATAGGCTCACTCTATGAAAGTAGCTTCATCTTGTTGAACAAGCTTTTTGTAATTTTTTTCTCCGTTCTGAGCAAGGAGTTTAAAATATAATCCTGTTTATTTTATTCTGTTTCTTGAAATATCTAAATATCATAGATATTTTTCAATGAAAACTTTTAATCAAAATAAATAAAATTATACCTACAATTTGATATCAATGGTAAAGAACATGAGTCAGAAATTGCCAAATTAAACGAACAACACAGTGCACATATAGCAGTCGTTAGACATTTCCTTTTTAAAAAGGCTGAAGCCCGGAAATTCTCACTCATTGCATGGGCTTTATGATACCCTTGTCAAGATGACTAGAAATCTGATTCTCACCAATGCTGGCAAAAAAAATAGTTTCAAATAATTTGGTGGGAAATTTTAAAATAGCAGATAAATATAATGCCAGAGAAATTTGAATTTGATATTAATTCATAGAATAAATTAGTAGCGCATTTATTTATGAGCTGTGAATGCGAAAATAATGTATATTAAAATATATATGTGGAAGGTAGAAATGATTATAAAATATAAATTAATAATCATAAAACAAAATAGCAATATTTTTGAAAAATATTTTAGCCAGCATCTGAATTATTTGGCTTGGGTGGATTCTTCTGCCACCACCCGTTAGTGCGTACGAGCCTAAGGAGGTCAGAATAAGGTTATATTAATTTTATTTAAGCATTCCTTAGACACTAATTCTAAAAGTTCCGAAATACCATATCCCTGTTTCACCCCTATGTAAATTTATCGTTATTCCTACTACTCCGGAAATTATATAGACATAAAAAATATATATGACAAAAATTTTTTTTTAAAAAAACTAGTATTGTCAAAGTCATTTAATTAAAATGCCAAAAAAATTGGGGAGGATATATTATATCCAGGATTAATTTTTTTTTTAAAAAACAAGTATTGTCAAAGTCATTTATTTAAAATGTCAAAAAAATGGGGAAGGATATATTATATCCAGGATTAATTTTAAAAAAAAACCGTATCGGAGAAATTGAGGGGGTAACTGCCAGCGGTGGATAAGAAGCGACAAAAGGTGTTACACAACTTCAAAGCTCTATGAGTAAGTTCAAAAAGGGCGGGTTCATCTAGGGTAGCCGAATGGATCATACCTAACACGAGTTTTCAATATTTTAATATTTAAAAATGCTATAATTGCTTATAAAAAACAAAGAAACCCCCATAGCTGTAATCAGCGTTTAGATTCTGGAAAGGTATTCTGAATATTTTTGATTTCGATTCTTAAATTTGACGGGGTTCCGGGTTTGATTCCAAGGTCTGTATAAGCAATCAAAAATTATGCAAATAATAAATAAACCCTACTCTATAAAATGAATCGCACATTACAATTATAAATTACTTGAGTTAAACCAGGTTCTGGCACCGGCTACCGATTTTAAATGAGTTCTGCTTCCTATAAATTTCTTAAAAATGGGTTCTAGCCTTGTTCTTAGATTTGTGCCCGTTCCGAAGGTTCCAGATTCTCGTTCCGGTTCTAAACTCTGGCTACAGGGTTAGCCGTTGTTTTCGAACAGATGCTCTTATTATGAGAGCATAAAATATGTAAACAACATTTTTTATATTCTGTTCCCATTCAATTCGAACATTATATAAAAAATAATTAAAAAATGCCAATCACCCATTTTTTGAACCGTTCTTTTGAATAAATTCTCATTTAAAATGAGCATTTTATAATAATACATTAAACTTATCATTTAATAATTAAAAGTCAGCGGAATATTAAATTAATTTATTTGCTTAAAATTGTGCATCAAATGATATTGCATAAAAGTATATAATAAATTAATCGAAATAGTTTTAAAAAATTAATTAACATTTAATACATATGAATTTTTTTATGGTTGTTTTAATAATTAATGGACGTCATTAAGCAAGGATGTATATATTCCTTCAATTTAATAGTTATTGTTCTTTTTTTCATCATTTATTTTAAAAAATACTATAAAAAGTAAGTATTCCTCAATAAAATATGTTCCTTCAAAGTTTCAAATAATTATGCACATGCGATTTACATTTTTAATTAATATTTTTCATATCAATGAATTTGATGGTCTATTTATAAAATAAAATTACTCATTCTTTTTAACCTCGTTCACTAAAAGATTTTTTTCTATATTATACTTTACGAATCTTATAAGACAAAATAATCCTCGTAAAAAATAAGGATATCTGAGTTTTCCTTTTGTATAAAAAAATCACATTTTTCTTTTTATTCAAAATAAGTTTATAGAAATTAAAGATTATTGTAAATAATTTTTTTTTTGAATAAAATGCTCGTTTTAAATGAGAATTTGTTCGAAAGAACGGTAAAAATAGATTAACATTTTTTAAATATATCTTTACATGATGTTCAAAATGAATGAGAAGAAAAATAAAAAATATTTATGTACTTTGTGCTCTCATAATAAGAGTTCCTGTTCAAAAACAACGGCAAACCCTGTGTATTAGTATTATTTTCTAAAAAAGGCACTTTATACTATTTAACTTTGTAATATTATTTGCAGGAGTAATATATCCATAAATATTTGGAAGCAAAACAAATGTAGGAACCGAAAATCCCTCTCTTGAAATTTATAGAAACGGGAACCTATTTACCTAAACCGATTCTAGCAAAAGTGCAACTAATTTATTAAATTTTCGAAATTATATTTATTTATAAAATTTGCATTTAATATAACTGCGCTAAATTAATTAACTGGAATCAGATCCTCCATGTCCAAAGAAAAAACCAATAGAAAACTTTCTTGGACCCAGGTTACAAACTCTGATATAAATTTATTCCTAGATGCGATGTAGAGGATTCAAAGAAGTCGCCGTAAACTAGTATAAATCAGGGTTATGCATATGACCGGTCAAATAGGAATCAGTCTGTTTTAAGACAATATTAACTTTATTTTGTATATAATAGTAAAAAATGAATTTATGCAATATTAAATTATATTTTTCGAAATTCTATAATTTATGTTTCGCTCTCCATGACAGAGTCTTGTTCCAATTTATATTCATTATCATTTTCTTTAATATTTTTATGATATACTCTTACCATTTTCTGGTTATAAGATCTTCAATCGATTTCTTTCCTAATATCACCCCAAACAGACCAATTTCTTTCTGAAAAAGAAGTATAACTTGGAAAGATATTAATTTGACACTTCTCATAATGTTCAATCAACAACTTGAACCTGAAATCGGATTGTTTTTTATGAAAGTTACTGCTTTCCACTATTAAATATACACTTCTTTTGCTTTTGAAATTTATGATATCACTAAAATTAGATAATCATCACCTTGTAAAATGATTAATTCTTGTAATATATCACATGCTTCATCAAACGCACTAACAGTAAGATGCTTTCCTTATATTGGGGATCCAATAAATAATCAGCTGTGTGAGCTCATGTATTTGGATTGTTTTTCCTATATAAACGTATCTTTAATTTTTGTATCTTCAGGTGGGAAAATTATAAAAGCATGATTGAATTATGTGTTCTCCAAATTAAGCATGTTTTTTACGTGGGCCATATATTTATCCCTTTTCATAAAAAAATAAGACAGCTAAATGTTAATGAATATAATTTTAAATTTTTCATCCGAAACATTTCTTCATTTAATATATTATTGGTAATTTCTTTTGAACAAATATCCAACTTCTTCAACAGCTGCTTTCAGAGTTTTCTTATTTGCTCCTTACATTTTATTGAAGATGCCCATCTTGTTTGTATAATTGTACATAATTTAATATAAATAGGCAATTAGTAATTATCAACCATGCATTAGCAAAATTAATATATTTATTTATATATTGAGATCCAATCAAATTAATAATGGGAAAAATCCTTTAATTTTTTTATTTCAAAAATAAAATTATAATTTTAATTATAATTATAAAAATTTTATATTATATCCGGAGCGCTAACAATACTAATTTTAGATCGAATCTATGCCTTGATAATACAATATTTTTAAATAAATTGTAACCTTATTAGATTGATAAACATGCCTTAAATGTATATTAGTTAATTTATTCAATATATTTATTCATCAATAACATTTTAGAGTATTTGACCATATTTGACAAGGTCAAATACTCCTTCGTTCAATTGACCGACTTGCCAACCCTGGTATATACAAATTTTTAAAAAATAGCTGTCTTTCTTGCTTTTTTTTAGAAAATATCTTCGCGATTGTGTAAAATATTGATTTCAAAATCGGGCAAACTACTGATAATAATTTCTTAAGTTATTAATTATACTATGTATCAATTCATACCCGGTTCCTATCTAGTACAACATTAACAATTCTAAAATCATGACAAATATATTTTTTAAAAAAAATAAAATTACAGTTTTTTATAAAAATAACTGTCTTTCTTGCTTTTTTTTTTAGAAATTATCTTCGCGATTGTGTCAAATATTGATTTCAAAATCGGGCAAACTACTGATAACAATTTCTTAAGTTATTAATTATACTATGTATCAATTCATACCCGGTTCCTATCTAGTACAACATCAAAAATTCTAAAATCATGACAAATATATTTTTAAAAAAAATAAAATTACAGTTCAAGGCTTCCAAGTGGGCTCTGTGAACCCCGTCCACGTCCAACAATGGGTTTCGGGATTCAGTAACGTTGGCATGACTAATATAATAATATATAAATAAAATATTCTATTCTATGATATTCATAAAACGTTTTGTCAAAATTTTCGGTAAACAAATTGTAGTATCAATTTTAAAAGCTTAAAGAAAATAAATAAAAAATATTTCACCTATTAAAGACCTGATGTTATATTTTCTTCCTATTCTTCTTTTTTTGGCCTGATTTAAATATCACAATTGTAAAATGAATTTTAAAAATGGTAAGACTTAAGTACGCGCTTTCGGAAACTGCTCCTTATCAAAATAGCGTTAATTTAATAATATTAATATAGAATCGTGTTTAGCTTATCAAGATGTTAGAAAATACTTCTTTAAATTTAAAAAAAAACTGGTAACATGATGAAATTTTAGAAAGGAATACTTACATGGCTAAAATACGAGCTATTTTTAAATTAAAAAACAAACGCAGAATCATATTTAGCTCATTACAAGGACTCAGAAAATGTTTACATTAAATTTTAAAATTGTTTATTAGTGGGCTTTTGAAAAAAGACTTTTTTTAAAACCAAACTAAGTATCCGTACACGGCCCCTATTAAAAAGGTTCTAATTTTAAAAGTTAGCTCTTTGAGGAGATTCAGAAAATGATAGTATTAATTTTTTTTAAATTTAATTATCTAAAATAATTTTTTTTTTGACTAAACTACGCGCTATCGATAAATATGCACTATTTTTAAAACAAAATCATGAAAGCTGTGTCAACCGTAACTTTAATATCCAATAAATACATTAAAATAAATATATATGTCATTTTATTTAAGAATTCAATCCAAAATTTATAACTCAACAGGGAAAGAATTTTTAAGAAGAGAAAAAAAACCAATAATGAATAAAAATGCATTTTTATCCTATCTTTTATATTAGGAAAATCACTTACAATAAAAAAAATAAATAAAAGATGCAGATATGGCGCCGATTACAATTTATTTTAAAATTAATAACTCGTATAATACCAACTAATTTAATAAGAAACAACCCGAATATACTAATATAATAATGAAACATCCGAATATTTTTAAAATTAGGGGTGGGCTGGACCTGGGTTTGAATTTTTTTATCAGCAGAGCGTAGGGTCTCCCCTAATGTTAAATTGTCCGGCGACCAACTCGCGTCCAAATTCCGATTTAGGGTGAAATTTGATCCCAGAAAAAAAAATATTTTTTCTGCATCATTCATATTCGAACTCGCACCTCCTCGCTATGGAGGCAAAGGTTATGTCTATACAGTCCCATGCATATTAAAAAATATGATCGGAATATATTTTTTATATATGAAACAAATGGATTTTTTTTATTGGCTTACTTTTCTCCAGTATTATTGGATTATTTTTTACCGAATGAATTTTTATTAAATCCTTTTTTTATATAATAATCTTGCTTAATAACATCTGTTTAATTTTCATTTTATTAAAATATCTCTTGCCTCCATATTTGTTTTTATTAATTTTAATGGTGGATTAATCAGATCCAGGCCCATGTAAACGGAGGGGGGGGGGAGCAGGGCAGCCTTATGTAAATAAAAATTGCAAGGCTCTGATAATATACCCTTTATTGATGATGGATGAATTAGAAGTTTGTCCAAGGTATGCAAAAACTTAACTTTATTTTGATGATAGGTGGTTCCTAAATTTCCTATTATTTAAAAAAAAGGTTAATAAAGTATGAGTACCTTCAATATGAACAAATAATTGTGTAGAACAATAATATAATAAATCGTCATCAAGCTATGCACTCTTAAAAAAGGTACAAAACCATCATCAAACAATTTTTTACAAATATGGAGGTAAAAATATTCAAAAAGTCAAATATCAGATTCATCATCAAACAAAAGGGAAATCTCTGTTTGGCCCGTCAATTTTTCCGGGTTAACTACTAGTTACAGTAGAGTCTCGTTATTGTGAATCAGAGCCCTGCACCGAACCTGTTTTCTTAGGGGCCCGATCCCCAAAAATTCTTACAAGGTCTTAGTCATACGTCACCCAATTTTTTTAAGTTTCCGCCTAGTCAAACCCAAAAATAAAAAATTAAGTCTGGTCGACCAAGATCTGTCCTATTTTTATTTAAAATTGTAAAATATTAATTTCTTATGAAAACCAACAAATATATATATGAAAAATGCAATGAACTTTAATAAGCTAAAGATGCTTTAAAATATAAATGCATTTATTAAAATATAAACAATCGATATGATTATTTTTTTATAATTAATTTCTATAGCTAAGACAATACCAAAAACTTTCTAGCGTTTGAGAGTTGGGGGAATTGAGCGTTTGGCAGTCATTTAAAAAAAAAATTAAAACTAGAAATATAGTCATAATACATGGTATAGTGTTGAATGTTATTGATTTTTTATGTGTTGTTTTACTAAAATAATAGATAGAGTTGTAATTTTATCCTTCTATTTAATTTGATGTTTACGAGTAACGTCTGTGGCCTAGTAGGTTCAGTGCGTGCATCACAATCGGATCTGGGTTCGAGTTTTATTCTAAAGTCAACTAGGTGGCTTCGTCCTTTTGATATATATCCGACTCCACTATGTGATTCCGTTAATATATATTCAAAAAATTAATGGATCCTAATGCATTTTAACAAATTCTGGTCTTGGTTTAGCAAGTGGAATAACGTCGTATATATCATTACTCCATAATACAGGATAGTTTTATATATTGTTATATCTATTAATTTAAAAACCTGGGAATTATTCGAGGAATTAATACAAGTAGATGATATAAATTATTAATGTTAAAAGCTCGAAATTTCCAAATTTTTCGATATGATATTTTGTAACTCTCGATTTTTGATTTGCTATCTTTTAATTTTATGCACTAGACAGCTCTGGTATGGTCTTTTTTATCTTCTTCAAAATATATAAATTGAAAAAAAATATGCCATCCCGCGAGGGAAAGAACCTTATGGCCAATATGCTTTTTAAGTCAAATGCATTAACAATTACGCCATTTCCTAGTATTTGAAAGTCGATCAAACTCAAAATATTAATGAGTAAAATTAAAATAGTTTTAAATTAATGGAGGCATAGCAAATCCATGAACGGACGGGTTGACATTTTTTATAAGCAATAGGCGGGCAGGCTGATGCAAAAATAATGCAGAACTTATTGTATATAATTTAGAGATCTGCAAAGTTAACAATCGTGTTCGGGCCGGTCCTAATATTTAAAAAAAAATCGGGCCGGGTGGGGTCGGACCTTGGAAATTTTTTTAAATATATCTAAATTTATCATTTTTATATTGAATTTTCTATGTAAAAAAATATTTGATTTTTTTATTGACTAAACGACATATAACATATGTCTTTTATTTTGAGTAATTATAAAAATTAATTTCTATATTTAAATAAATTCTGGCCGGGCCGGGTCGTTGAATTTTTTAAAAAGATATAGGGTTCGGGCCGGGTCGGTAAAACTTTTTTAAAAAATTTCAGGACGGGCTTGAAAAATTAGGCCCGATGCAGATTACTAATATAATATATCGTATATTTCTATATACATATATATCCTACTTAATAATGTTCTATAATTGAGATTATTCATAAAAATCAAGACTATACACTATCTTTTCGCAAACAAAATATGTTCTATACTTGTCGGCATGAGTAGACTCAGATGTGGGAAGGCGGTGGCGAAATCGAATCCAACGCGATTCTATGACGTCGTATTTGAGATGAAAGAGCAAACCCTTGGCGAATACTAGCATCCTGTGCAAGGCAGGGCATATACCTCTGTACAAGGTGCGAGACAATCGGGATCTGACTATATCGCCGTTTAAGAGGTTTGTAGATAAACCATCAGATTTATTGTTATGAGTGCGATTAGATGAACGCTAGTAAAAGAGAACAGTAAGGTAGTGTTGTTAATTAGTTGGTTGTGTAAAACCCAAATCCAGGGCTTGGGTCTAAAAATCGGCTAAACCAGCTCTGAGCACGAACCCCGAGCACAGACCAGGAACAAAAACGTTGTTTTTTATTGAACTTAGGAAAGTATATATGATTAATATATATATCAATCGAGAGCTAATCAAGAGATCTATTTATTAGGAGGACAAGCGTTTCCTCTTGATGGGCTAATCTAAGGCTTGGGGGGCCAGAAATATTTTTATCACAACAGAATAATAATATGGGTAACAAATAAAAGGTGTTTTAATTATATCTTGACTGATCATAATTATTATTCGAAGTGGGCGGTTCTAGGTCTTGAGGGGTCAGGAATATTTTTAACAACGCAAAATATTGATACGGCCATCAAATAAAAGTTAATTTAATTATATTTTGAATATAATCATAATTATTATTCTGTGGGCGGATCGTTTTGAGGGTCAGGAATATTTTTATCAACTCAAAATATTGATATGGGTGTCAAATAAAAGGTAATTTTATTATATCTTAAACTAAATTATTATTCCAAGTGGACGGGTCTAGGTCTTTGGGGGCTGAAATATTTTTATCATCACAATTTATTAATATGGGTAGTGATGTTAATTGACTAACTAGTAGTTATTGAAAAATATAATTTGAATTTCGCCACTATTCATCACGACATGAAATATCTAAAAGTTTCATAACACATATAATAAAAGAAGAAAATAGAAAAAAAATAACCTAAAAAAATAAGTTTTAATATTTTTATTTATAGTTATAAAAAATACGAATCGAATCGAATAATTGTATTATTCGTATTCGATTCGTCAAATATTCGATTCAATTCTAAAATTTTATTTAACCGTAAATTAAAAAAGATAGCATTTATAAAATTTAACTATGGATAAAATACAAACAAATTTTATTAGTAAGATAATATTGATACTAGGGATGTACCGATATTTTATATCGGATCGGATCGGGCCGATATTTGGCTCATTTTAAAATATCGGTTATCGGCAAATATTATAAAATTTTCCGATCCGATATAAAATGGCGCTTTTAACAAAATTTAAAAAAAGTTATATCTAAAAAATCATTTATTTTTATAAATAAAATCGAAATACATTTTTATGTTTAATTTTTTTAATAGAAATAATTAGTTAATAAACATTCTGCAATATAGTTATTTTTTTTCGCATTCTGTTTAAAAAAGTGTTTATTAATCTCTTCAGTATCTGTTTTTAGTGATGCTAGTGATATTAACAGTCCCCATCACCGCCGACATATCTCTGATATAAAAAGAAATCTTCGATATATTAATTTTAAATATTAATTTCAAATTTCATAATATATTTTTTTATTACTAATTATGTATAATGTTATTACTTATTATATAAATAATAGCAATTGAATTGAATATAAACTATAACTGACAATTATAATATATTTAAATGACATATGTTATGGTTTAGTAAAATTATAGATGTTGTACTAATAAAAAGTATATTAAAAATTAAAACCGGTATCTTTGCAGAATACAAAATTAGATATGATATCGGATCGGTTATCGGCCGATATCAATTTAATATCTGAAATATCGGATCGGATCGGATCGGCCTCCAAAAAGTGGTATCGGTACACCCCTAATAGATACATATATAGTATATTTATATATAATGTAGAAAAATCAATATAATATTCATATCATGTAGAAGACAAATATATCAAAAACAAATTTTTTAAACACAAAGTTTTTGCAAAAAGTCAAATTTATGATTTCTTCATGATCAAACAAAGGAGAAATATCTGGTTCGCATGTCATTCTTGACGGGATAGCTACTAGTTATTTATAATTGTATATGTATTATAAATTACAAATAAATAAATACTTTCTTAGTCCATCATAATTTTCGGAAATTATTTTGTAATATTAATTATCGAATAAAAACAGCCGTTAACAACATTTAGAAATATAAAATGTTTCTTCATTATTCCACTAAGAAATTTTATTAAATAGGAATAATTGCAAATAATTCCTATTAATAATATATGATTATTTTTCGATATTTATAAATATAAATTATTTTAATGGAATAATCTTGAATAATTCGATCGAATAATAGATAAAAAATTATTCGACGAATAATATATTTTCCTTATTAGACCCCCCAAGCCCTATCGAGAGGGAATGCTTGTTCTCCTAATGAATAAATCTTATATACTTTCCTAAGTTCAACAAAAAACAACTAAAAAATAAATGGGTTTTTGTGCCGGGTCTGAACCCCGAGTCTGTGCTCAGGGTTAGTGTACAGAGCAGGCCTAAGAACAAAATTAGGTCGCAAATTTTACGAAACAACACTAAGTGAGCATATCATAAAAAAATGTTATTTCTGATAATACTATTAGAGAAATATCAAAAATGATATGAGCATATTATATATTTTTTAAATAGATTTACAGCTAAATATTGGAAGAGGCCGATCCGATAATTAGTTATTCAATTTTTAATAAATAAATTTTTTTTATTACAATTAGGGAATCAATATAAACCATCTGGTGGTGGAGACATGTTAAAAAAATTAGTGAGCGCATCACATCATATTAAATGAGAAACATTATATATATATTACCTTTGAGGTATTAACAAGAGAAGCGAATCGAGATCTAGCGTCAAGCCAGGCCTGAGCTAATTCGTTCTCGACGTAATGAGCGTGCAGTAGGTGGCGGAATATGAGTTGATACCTGCGCAAAGAGGCTCGATCTACTACCAAGCTAAGGGGCCATTCCACTATGAAATCAAGATTGACTACTTCAGCACCAGTTAATTGGTTATATTCCTCTGTAACTTTATCTTCATTTTTCTTATCTTTTATTTAAAAAAAGATAACTTATTATATAAGTGTAATTATCATATTAAGGGTTAAATTTTTTCCTCTTCTATTTATACCAGGGCTCAGGAATAAAGGTATTTTTGTGTCGTTGTTCTGTTTCAAGTTTCGGAACGATAATCTAATTTTATTACTATACAATTTTTATCCATTAAATTTTTTTCCTTATAATTAGGGGTGTAGGTGTACCGATACCACTTTCTGGAGGCCGATCCGATCTGATATTAAATTGATATCGGCCGATTACTGATCCGATATCATTTTAATTTTGTATCCTGTAAAGATACCAATGGTTTTAATTTTTAATATACTTTTTATTAGTATAACATCTATAATTTAACTATACCATAACATATGTCATTTAATTATATTATAATAATCAGTTATAGTTTATAATCATTTCAATTGCAATTCTGGATATAAAATATTTTTATTGATAAATCACTTATTTATATAATAAGTAATAAGTAATAGACAAATATATTATGAAATTTGAAATAAATATTTAAAATTATTATATCGAAGATTTCTTTTTAGAAATACCAAAATTTCCAATTTATCAGAGATCAGTCTGCGACGATGGGGACTGTCAATTTCACTAAAAACAGATTCTGAAGAGATTATCGCACACTTTTATAAACAGAATGGGCAAAAAAAAAATAATAATATGGCAGAATATTTATTAATTAATTATTATTATTAAAAAATTAAACATATAAATGAATTTAGATTTTATGGTTTTTTGGATATAATTTTTTTTTTAAATTTATAATATTTTATTTTTGTTAAAAAAGCCATTTTTTATCAGATCAAATCGGAAAATTTTATTAAAAATGGGTGAAATATCGGCCAGATCCGATAAAAATATCGGTACATCTCTACTTATATAGGACTAAAGATTTACCGGTATTTTATTGGATCGGACTGATATATCACCCAGTTTAAATATCGGTTATCGGCCAATATTATAAAATTTTCCTATCCGATCCGATATAAAATGGCGTCTTTAACAAAAATAAAATTATAAAATTTTTAAAAAAGTTATATCTAAAATCATTTATTTATAAATAAAATCTAAATCCATTTTTATGTATATTTTTTTAATAATAATAATTAAATATTCTGCCATATTGTTATTTTTTTTGCGCATTCGGTTTATAAAAGTGTGCGATAATCTCTTCATAATCAGTTTTTAGTGAAGCTGGTGATATTGACAGTTACCATCGCCGCAGACTGACCTCTGATAAATTGGAAATTTTGGTATTTCTATAAAGAAATCTTCAATATATTATGTTAAATATTATTTCAAATATTTATTTCAAATTCATATATATGTATAATGTATTACTTATTATATAAAAGTGATTTAACAATATAAAAATTTTATATAATTTTAGAATTGCAATTGAATTGAATATAAATTATGACTGATCATTATAATATATATAAATGACATAAGTTATGGTATAGTTAAATTATAGATGTTATACTAATAAAAAGTATATATTAAAAATTAAAACCATTGGTATCTTTACAGAATACAAAATTAAAATGATATCGGATCGGTAATCGGCCGATATCAATTTAATATCAGATCGAATCGGCCTCCAAAAAGTGGTATCGGTACACCCCTATATAGGACAATTATCAGATATATGTATTAATTAAGGTGAGTTGAACAAATTTAAAAAAAACTTTTATGGACTAGGTCTTGCAAATTTTTGGGCTGGACCAGACAACTTTATCATAATTCAGGCTTTGCAAACTTTAATTGATATCCCTATAACCATTATAAATTTTATAATTACACAATGATTGTTTTTAAAATGTTCCGGAACTGGTCAGGTAATATTCCCAGAATTATCATTCTATAATTTTTACTAAGTTCCATTCCCAGACTGTTTGGCTTATGTCCCAGATTTATGCACATTAAAAACAACATGGTATAGTTTTAAAACCTCATAAGGTTAACCAGGTCAATAGTCATGATGTTTTTGTGATTCACAAATTTTTTTAATTGAAATATATGCAGCAAATAATTTGAAACCCAAAATTGCAGGCAAATAATCTTGTTGCTGAGGAGCTGACATGAGGCACCTCACTTGAGACAAAAGACCGTCGGGACACAAGGTCAAGCGTAGATTTTCTTTGAGGGGGTCTAAATTAGCCGAGCTAGTTCTGAGCGATATTTCCAGCAGCGATTCCAACCTAAAGGGAAGAACTTGGTCAGCCGATTTGCGGAGTTCTGGCATGGCAGTATCCATAAAATGAATCAGATAATCGCCTCGCTCCACAAAAAAGTAATTTTTGATGGAATGCAGAAGGGAAATAAGATTGAACGGGTTTGATAATAATGGCATGCTAAGGGGAGATCTGTGTTAAAATCATAAAACTCAGAATGATCATAAAGATGCTTTAAAAAAATTGATTTCAGTTGACTCTGGTGTGTATCCTGGTTTTAAAAAAAATTACAATGATTATTTAGTAGTTTTTTTTTAAATATTGATTTCAATAAAATGATTCAAATTGAATTTTAATGGCTCACCATTTTTGTAGTGTGATTAATGTAATCATTTCACAAATTTGGCCAGAGTAAATAATAAAAAAATATTTGAATGATTTTTAATATTTAAACAGCTTTATTATAAAATAAAAATGTCTGATAACTATTTATTATTTTTCCATGCTCAAAAATGGGCTTAAATCAATTTATCAAATGTTTAACACTCATCTAATATTTTGTAATAAGTAGAATAGAAACAAACATTTAGAATTATCAGTTATTGCTAAATATCAAAACTTAATGCATAAAAAATGGATAAGAATAAAATAAAGATTTGGAATTTGAGATATATTTCCTAATTTGGACTAGGTCTGGGCTTAAAGTTTAATTTACCACCAAATGAGCTTACTTGTTAAAAAATCAAATATTTTTTTATTATTATCCCTCCCCAATATTTACCTTGTGGGTAATAAAACTGCATTTATAAGTGGTCCTCCTTGCAAGAGCAAATCTAATAAACATTTTCCAGTTGTCAAAAATCGGTGTTCTATTTTGGAAGGCAGAGTATCATTTTCTATGTCATTAGATGTTAACTTGTCAGTCTCTTCATAGGAAGTCCAATCAAATTTGGTGCAGGTATATATATCTTCACATGTTTCTTCTGAGATAATCTCAATATATCTTGGGTTGGAACAATCTCGTAATATATTAATATATTTGCCTGTTTTATGGATTTGATCAGAATATTTTTGCAAGAAAGAAGGAATTTTGGCCTGAATTAGGGTAAAATTTTTATCATATGGAGTTATAGTAGTTGAATCAAAGGGCAAAAACGATTTTTTGTTCTCTTTTATGAAAAATTCTTTATAAGGATCAAGAATTGTACCCTCGAACATCCAGTAATTTAATATTCGAAAATATGGAATTGAAATATCATAAAATAATTGTTTGCAAAATATTGAATCTTTGAGTGAAGGGTATAAGTTTTGGGAAGTATACAAAACATTTAATATGTCACATGATCTTTTTTTGGTTTTATCAATCCTTTTTAATATGTTTAAAATTATATCAAAGGCATCAATGAATGCTTGAACAAGTAACCATAATTTATTAATATCCAATGAATTTAAACAATTCTCAAGTTGCGTAGTAAATATCAAAAAATGATCCATTATAATTTTAAGTTTTATATTAAGAATGTTGGTAACTATTCCTTTAGAGTAATTATAAAGGTTTTTGTCAATATTATTTGCTATATATGAAAAACAAATGATGATATGAAAAAATTTTGAGCATAACAGTTTTAGAGATTCATCTTTAACTTTAATATATTTAAAATTATCATCATTTAAGTTAATTTTTAGTATAATACCTTGGAAACCTTGAAAACATTTAATCATATCATAAATGACATGTTTCTCATACTGAGTATTAAAATTATTAGATATATTTAATAAATTATCTGTGTCAGCAAAATTTAATGTTATATATTTTCTTCTGTTAAATTCTGCAATATGCTGTGATAATATAATTTTGTCTGATTTAAAAGATGAAGAAATTGATTGTGATCTTTCATTCATGTTTTGATAAGAATCCATTTGTGAATAATGAGATTTGTTTGTGGAATTTTCAATAATGAATTGTTTTACCTCTTTATCTTTTAAAATTTTTCCAATCAAATACAATATTGATCCGGTATATTCAATAGAACTATTTTTATGAATATATTTATAGTGTTCAATGAACTCCTTTTTATATTTAATATGTTCACATATATCTGCTAAGGATAAAGTATATTTTTGATATTCTGAATAATTTTTCAATAATTCTAAATAACTAACTATTTGAATCTGATTTGGATTGATGTTAAATAGATCTATTAATTTTTTAGCATGGTGAACTTTCTCGGAATCGTTATCATTCATTGAAAAAATTAAAATAACTTTAAATTATATAACGCGCGATCGAATGTCATAAATGATTGATATAAATAATTTATGAGAGATGTTCTAAAATGATATACCACTTATTTTTGATTTAGACAATAATTTCATGAATAATATTATGAATTTTAATAATAAATAATTTTAGAAAAACTCAAATATAATTTCCATATATAGTTTTTTATATTAGAAGTTCATATAAAAAGATTAATATAAAAAGATTATAGTCATTTTCAATATCCCTGGCTAATAGTTATATCGATATATATAATATCTAGACAAACCTACGAGACATTGAAATTTCAAAAATATTGCGAATACCATTAGATACATAAATTTAGTAATGCGCTACTTTAACTTGAATAATTAAATATAAAAAATTTTTAATTTCTGATTGTAAATTCAAAAATATTTTCTATAAGCCAGGTTTAAATCAACCAACAAAGTTAATCTTTTGAATCGCGATAGAACATATACTAAATATATGCAATTTATGCTTTTTAGATATACAGTGTATATGTGATTTGTTGTAAAAGATGGTTGTAAAAGATGTCCATATCTTTGTATTAACTTTCTTATAAAATTGTTTGACATACTCTAATTATTATAAAAATAATATATTGGTAACATTCTAAATAAAAGTAATTACAGCAAGTTAAACAATCTTTGTTACAAATATATATGGAAATGTTTTACTACAAATCATATTTTTTACTTAAATATATGTTATGTTTTAAAATATATTCGACTTTGTCGCATTTTGAGAATTATATTATTGCTCTGCTCTTGTTATAAAATGAATAGTTTTGTTTGATTTTTTCTCAAATAGAATTATCTTTCATTCATTAACTTTATTATATGCCGCTGACTATACTAATTATTCAGATATAATTTTTAGAGAGCGGTAAAAAAGATGCTCGTTTTTATTTAAAGCCATATTAAAGTTTGCCCCATTTTATCACATTTAGAGAAACTGGTTGACAAATCAGCCCTATAGATAGAGTTGTTAAAAAGCTCAATTCGGGTCATTTTTAAAAACGACCCAATGAATTTTATATACACTCCTATCGTCGCGAATCTTCCAATATAATGTCATCCTCTCTTCTCCCTAGCTTGAGATTAAACGCCTCACAGAAGATATAGGCTACCTTACCAACCAAATCTGGTGGCATCGGCATAAACTCGCTCTCGCTATTTTCCATTAGTGCGTTTATATCCTATCTCCTGTCTTGCGAGCATCATACACACACTTACAAAACACCCTGACCGTTAGCTTCTGCGGGCAATTAATCTCTGGAAATCTCTCTCATTTGTCGATTCTATTTCATCAGCACTACAGAAGGATTGATATAAGCCTCTAGTTGGCAACTTCATTGCATACCTTATATCGAGGAACCATCCCGAGGGCCATTCTCTACTCTTCTATTCGAATTTTTCGAGGCTTTCTAATCGCGAAATCTTGGCCAACTCTTAAGCGTGTCACGCCATTGATCTTAGACTGAGTTGTAATATGGTGATACCCTATTTACTCTATGCCCTGTCAAACATAGATCAATTCCAAAGGCCATCACTCTTTGCACTGCAGTTGGCAGATTCATTATACATTCAAAATGGAACGATACTATTTCCAGGGCCTTGAAATCTGCTGGCATCCCGTTAACCTTCGAGCCCACTGGCCTCCACAATTAGAATTGTAAAAAGCCTGATGGCTCTATCATGAACCCTTGGAAGAGGGGGGAATTCCTAGCCTGATTTCTCATGCATCAATCCTCTTGCCCCTTCCGATATAAATAGGGATGCTCTACTGGACACCAAGATGAATAAACATCCTAAATATTCGCCATCGCTACCTGCCAACTATACAATCCTACCTTTAATCGTCACGATTTTAACATCGTTCGGCTCTCATGCCTTGATCTTAGAGCTAGGGCACCAGATCTCTGTTAGGACAGAGGATCCAAACGAGAAATACTACCTAAGGCATAGGTTGGCCCTAAACATAATAAAGTGCAATTATTTCAGCTTTATACTTTCAATGCCCGAAACTCCCTGATTGAACATCCTGTGCATAGAATAGGCTTAGTCTATTTTGCTCACAATTATAACGTTAGCGCTAAAAAGGAACTTGGATCTCAAGCGATAAAAGTTTTGGCTTACTTAAATTATTAATATTATTTTCAATTAAATTAATATTATACTAATTTATATTTATAATCCCTTATTTTAATTATGATTTGTGTTTCGTATTAATTATTTATATATTTATATTTCAAAAATAATTATCAATCTGTATTTTAATAAATCTGTAAATACAGAAGAAAGTTGGATGTTACACCAATGCTAAGTAATGATGATTATTCGAATAATATTTAATATTTACCTTATTAAGCCATACTATTTAATTTTATAAAACTACACGGTTCAGACTGAGATATGAAGTGGGGCTAGAGTTAGTCATTGTATATGAGGATTTTATTTAACCACTATATTACTTAGGATATAGGGGCAGTAGCCACTTTGATACAGGTTTGAATATGGTCTAGTAAAGGTTTTTCTGCATCAATCAAACATTATGAACCGCGTAGTTTAACAAAGGGTAGGGTGGAATAAATGATAATTTATAACATGTAAGCGAGTGGTCATGATTGAGATTCGTTATTTCTATTATTTTATATAGCTGGTATTATTAAAATTATTTTTGATTTTAATTATTTTTACATATAAAAGATGATAAAAATTATACTTTATAAATTTTTTTATTTCCTTAAATAAAAATCATACAAAAACAAAAGAAGTCATTTGGTCTATTTTCTAAAAAAAAAGGAAAAATTGGAAACTTAGATATTTTAGGATAAAAAATGATCACCCTATACTAACCTCTCGGTATCGTAGATATTTGCTAGAAGTTCAACTCGCTATATTTAGTGCTGTGACCGAAATTATTAAGAAATATTATATTAATTTATTTTTTAGGAATAAAAGGGGGAAAATTAGTAGTTGCACATTGGTAGTTGTAGTAATAAAATAGTGCAGTAGTTTTACGGTACTAGTAGTAAACTAGTGAAGTAGTTGACGGCGGTAGCAGTGAAAATAGTGAAGCAGTTGTACGTGGTAGTATTCACGGGGCAGTGGGATCAATGGGGGAAAGCGCAGGGGCTTGAGCCCCTGAACAATTTGAAGACCTTAAAATCGAATTTTTTTATACTACTAAAAAAAAAATAATTTTGGTTAATGTAGTTAAAGAAGGTATTTTTGGATAATGTTAGCTAAAAAAAATAATTTTATATTAATTTTGAAAATAATTTTAAAAATTTTAAATGAGCCACCTGAGATTGTAAAGGTTAACCCCCCCCCCCCCCGATATTGAGCTTAGTAATTAAATAGTTATACGGCTGTAGTATGCAAATTGAGCAGTAGTTGTGGTATGTGCTGTTGTGTAATTTCGGTTTTGATTTTGCTGGTTAAGTAACTATTTTTTGACATTACAAATCATAAAATTTTTTATTATAAGATAATTATTTATTTTATTTAAAAATTATTTGTAATTTTATTAAAAAAGATTTATTTTTTCGCGTAATTTTTAATGGAATTATTGCTATGAGTTAAATCAATCTTGATAAAAAAATATTGTGAGTTAAATTAAATCTAATTAGATTAGAAAGATTATTCGCGTAAAATCCTTATAGCTTGGTGGCGAAGGCTTCATTTTGTTGGCTAACATTTTTGTATTTTTTCTCCTTGTGTTGCACAAGGCATTTCGGGCATAATTCTGTTATTATTTGTTCTATTGAGATATCTAACTCAAGATGCTAGACATTTGCCTAATATAAATGAATATTTTTAATATAAATAAAATTATACATAAGTAATTTATATCAATGGTAGATAACATAAATGAAATTACCAAGGTTGATGAGCAGCACAATAGACAGTTACATTGACATGGGGCAGTTTGGGATCGAAATTACATAATCCCCTAAGTTTTTTTTAAATTTTTTTAATGATATAGATTATATGGTTAAACAAATTGTCATTTATAAATTTAATAATTCAGAATAAGGCATGCCGTAGTTTTTATTTCAAACTATCTACCAAACAGGTAAGCCTTAAAAAGTATGAAATACGCACTAATTATTAAAATAAATCTTAGAGATACTTTCATATTTTTGTATTACTTTCAGCTTAAGGCGTGCTATACTAGTTTGTATTTGGTTCGCAATTCGGTTACCTTTTTTGTGGGTGGCGAAATTGATAAAAGAATAATAAGTAAGGCACTAAATATTAACAAACCCTATAGTTATTTAAGAAATAAAGAAAATAGAGGATTATACCATATTTTTATTTGGTTAAGCGTAAAAACGAATTTGATATAATATATTAATTCATAGAAAAAATTATAAGCATATTTATTTCTACCATGAATGTGATAAATATATGTAAATTAAAATATATATGCCATAAGAGGTAGGAATAGTTATTAAATTTATATTACTAATTATAAAACAGCAATATTTTTGAAAAATATTTTATCAGCATCAGATATTTTTTGGATGGGGGGGGGGGGCCCTCTCCGTTATTTTGCGTGACTTATCATAGTTTCATCATCAATTTAACTAGTAATTTTATATGACGTTGGTTATCAAATAGCGATTTGCTAATTAACGAGCAAATTTTATTAAAATACAAACTACTTTTAATTTTATTATATATTAACGGAATCATGTTCTTGCTTCCGATCTACTATATATCATACCATGCATCTTACTAGACAACTATCTAGTTGCTTCAACAAATCCGATCCTTCCTTGATCCGAATCTATGCGGTGATATCCCAAATTATGGATTAGGCCAGAAATTGTTCTTAAAACTGACGATATCTTTTGTTTATAAAGACGATGCTATCTAATATTTTAGTAAAAGACATAAAAAAACTATTAATGTGCTAACATAATTTCTACCAAATTTAATTGCACGATAACCAAACCAATAATAATATAATTTACATAAGCCATACTACTCCAATTATTCTTCAAGATTTATTTAGTTTCTCTTGATAAAATTTGAATCATTCAAATTATACTACTAGAAATTATAATCGTAATGAATAATAAATATTTTCAATACACCCAAAAATTATAATCGTAATGAATAATAATTATTTTCAATAAATACATCCAAAAATTATAATCGTAATGAATAATATTTTCAATAAATACACTTAAAAATTATAATCGTAATGAATAATAAATATTTTCAATAAATATACCCCAAAATTATTTTAGTTTTGGGCACGAGAAAATAATTTCATTATAATAATTGATATAACTTGTTTTATTCAAATTCATTATGGCGTTTTCGTATTAAGTAAAAAATTATAATCATTTATAAAATTATTTTTGTTTTTATTTCTAAATTCACAATCATTTAACATTAATGCCCAAAAGATGGACATAGTAAATCGCTTAATATCATCTTACCTCAATAAAGTTTGTCTGACTAGACCATCAGCTACCTGTGTTGACAATTATTGCGGGAATCATAATCACGATTTTTGTTATCAAGTAAAATACTAGTTTTCTTATTTAAAACATAAGGACTAAAATGTTCTAACATTTTTGAAATAAATGTATTCAGATGTATTTTATTAAACTTAATTTTAAGAGAGCTATGAATAAAATATTGATTTAAATTCAAACAATTTTGATTTTAAAACTTTTGAACAACTCTTATACATTAATTTGAGAATAGGTTTTTCTGTAATATACTTTATATAAGTGTTCTGTATCGGGCCTAATTTTTCAAACCTGTAATTTTCTCCCAAAACATAACTCTTATACATTAATTTGAGAATAGGTTTTTCTGTAATATACTTTATATAAGTGTTCTGTATCGGGCCTAATTTTTCAAACCTGTAATTTTCTCCCAAAACATAACTCTTATACATTAATTAGAGAATAGGTTTTTCTGTAATATACTTTATATAAGTGTTCTGTATCGGGCCTAATTTTTCAAACCTGTAATTTTCTCCCAAAACATTAAATAAAAATTATTAGTGGCCCGACCCGAATTTTAAATATAGTTTTACATTATTAAATTGAACATAAATCGATTTTTAGATTTTTTTAAAATGCAAATCTCTTATATATCTATATTTTACAAATCAAATATTTTTTTTTATATTTCAAAATGCAAATAATTTAAGTAGAAGTCCTTCCTTTATTCTTCAAGATTTTATAAAGTTTATTTTCACTAATAAAATATGTATTCAAAATAAAAATATGAATCATTGCATATTATATATTTTTGAAGATATAAAATGGTGTAAGTTATATAATATTATGAGCCTGAAGTGCACAATTGATTTTGAATAGAGCACGAGAGTGACCTTATTAAATTATATAAATTTACGTAACTTTGCCGCTTTATTCAAATTTAATTCCATTATCAAAATTAACCTTCTCATAATCGTTATAAATGAAATAAAATACGGATAAAATATAAAATTCGGATAAAAAATAATATATTAAAGATTAGTTTAGGCAATTTTAACATTATTTTATAATAAAATTTACCCAACAATTATGCGCTTCCTATCAATAATATTCATTTCGATTTTCAGTATTTTTTTGAGAAGTAAAATTTAAAAAAAATTATATGTCTAAAAATTCTCTAAAAATTGATAATTTATTTCTAGATTCACAATCATATAATACCATAAAGAACAATATGGTTTGCTGCCCAAAGGGTGTACAGATAGTAGCTTGTTTTGTATCTCCTTGTCTCAATAAAGTTTGTCCGGCTCAACCATCCGCTATTTGCATTGAGAATTTTTGCGGGGGATGCAATTTCGATTTTTTTCTACATGGAATCAAGGTTCAATGCTAGTTTTGTCTGTGAATTTGCCTAAAAATGTCTTAATAAACGTTTTAACGATACCCAGATGATATTAACATTATAAATTATTTAATATAAAGTTAAGAATAAAATTAGAACTCTTACATAAATTCATTTGTATTAATTTTTATTTTTTAATCTGAAATTTTCAAAAAGCGTAAACTATTCTAACTGCAATAATAAACACTTTAAATAGACAGAAGACGGTAGGTCAAGGATTAAGAATTACAAATACACTTAAAATTTTTTTTTTAATGAAAGAAATCTACTATATTTATAAATCACCATGAGCTTATCTAGGACCACGAATGACAAATAAAATTTTTAATAAACTCTATAAAGTATCATAATATAAAATAAAATAAAGGGCTTCATTTGTAATGACCAAGTTAGTGTGGGAAATTCTTAACGCTCAAATTTATAATAATACCAACGCCCAAACATAAATAATAATCTTTTAGAGTGATTTAATTATTACTTAGATTAGAGATCGGGAAAATTGGCTCAGAGGAAATTTCCCCGGGAAAATTTAGGGAAATTAAATAATAGCCACAGTATTACTTATAAAACCTTTCAATATTTTTTTATTGAATAACTTTAAAGGGAAAATTAGGAAAAAATAAACTAAGCATTTTTTTTATTGAATGACTTCATTATCAAAAAAAAAGCAAAATTTATAATGATGCAAGTGAAATAGCATCAACATCTTAACGGATTGCAATCCGAACTCTTTTGCTGATATCCCGAACAGTAGTCCTTTAAATGTTTTGATATCAATTATATTACTAGTTTTAGAATGGACTTACTCCCAAAGGCTGACCAAACCTTTCTGAGGCACTTGAGGGTGGCATCGAAGGCATCTTACTATTATATGAATCGAGCTCTCCCATATGCTAGCAAGTTTTGAGTCTTAATCCCACTCTGAAGTCTCGTCAAATTTCTTATTGAGCCGCTCAATTTAAAGTCGTATTTTAGGAATCTACCATGGTGGGATTCAGAACAAGCCGAGTTAAAGTGAGCTTGCAAGTGAGGAGGGGGGGGGGGGTTAGGAGACAAATTCTATTTGAAGTTAATTTTGGAAATTGTGCCAATTCCTCGAGAATGTGTTTATTAAACAAATTATTCGATTTTGTATTTTTTAAAAAAGATATATTATTATTAGAATTATAATTGTATAATTTACTAAGGAGGTATATCAAAAATTTGGTATAATTTTTAGAAAGAAAAAAATTATTTGTTTGTAAATAAAATATATATAAATTGTTCAAGATAAGCGTTTTCTCTTAGAATTGGTAGGATTGACGTTACAAACCTCGCAATCGACACCTATTGACGCTAAGTAATCAAGCCATAATATTTGTTTGGTGGATAATTTGTCACCAAATCCTTTGACTTCTGCAATCTAAATATAGATATGTTTTTTATTTTTGATTTAAAAAAATAAATAAAACCTTTCATAATTTTAATTAACAACTCCTTAAATCAAGACATATTATCATATTGTCAATAAAAAGCATCAAAACTAGATCCAAATTGTGAAGAACCCAGTTTGATTCAGAACAGTTGCCCAAAAAATAGGTTCGGTCCTAGTTCTAAAACGTCAAACAAATTTTGAAAAAAAAAAATAAATTTTTAAATTTTTTAAGGGTATTTGCATTTTCTCGGTATTAAAACCAGACCCAATTTTAATGAGTTTGAGCCGAGCTTAGGCCTAAAATTTTTTCATTTAAATTTAGGTTATTAAAACAGTTGCTAGCTTAAAAAAATATTGCAATTTTTTCTTCTAATAATAATTTTAAGTATTGCAAACAAAATGATTGATTAAATTATACTTAATGTTTATTTTCATTAAAACAATAAATTAAATTTTTGGATATCGGTTTGGGCAAAATTTATTAAACTTATTATGGGCTTGAGAATATTTTAAATATTAAATATAGGCCGGGCTGCGGCCTATAAGACATTTTTACTACGGGTCTGGGCCCTTATGAAGGTCTATGATTCACATATGTAACAGAAAGTATATAGAAAAGGATCGAAAGCTAATTGACCAAAATATATTCTCATTTTAATTCATTTATTATATATAAAACGATCACTTTAATATTGAAAGTGTTCTCGTTCCATAGGATTAAATCAGGGAACCCACTTCTATGATTCCTGTGATCTTTGATCAAAACTTCGGCAATGAGCGAAAATTTGTGGCAACCTAAGCATTTTAAAATGGTTAAAGCCGAATTTTTAGAGATAATCGGATCGTTACCGAATACGTCCCAATTGAGACCCGGGAATTGAACTGGCGCTATAAATATATAATATATTTTAAAAAAATCTCTGATTATTTCGTTAGTCACCAGTGTTTATCTGATTTGTCATTTGAATAAAAAAATATAACGAGGTTGCTACTAATAGACGCTATTTGAAAAGGTTTATTAAGTACTAATTTTAATCAACATAAGATATTTTTAATAAGTCACAAAAACTCAATTAATAAATTTTCGATGAAAATTCTAAGTAATTACTAGGCCAATGTGGGTTCAAATTTTTTCACCGTACCGATATTGATATTTCCATTTTATTTTTAAAAAAATCGAATTATGCAATTTATAAACTTTTTATTTCTGCAATTAAGATTAAAATGTGACAGTTTGTTAAAAGCTACTTTTAAAAGTAGCAAGCTATCGTTTTTTCAAAAAGGTAGCACGCTATTAGCTAATTTAGAATTTTTTAATATTTTTTTTCATCTCTATTTCCACAAATAAAAAATATGACTAAAATTTTAAAAATTACATAATTTATTTTTTATTGCATCTCAAAAAAATAGAGCTCAAAAAATTATTTAAAGTTTAAAAATTAACATAATGACGGAGTTAACCCAAATAATTACAAATATTTTTTGATATATGATATGGAATCATGTGGGATTCGGAATCCCAACGTGGGAATTCAAAATCTTGAATCCCTACGTTTTATTCGGGATCAAAATATTTAAAAAAAATATTCCGAATCCCAATGAAAAAAAAAATTTAATTACTTTTTCTTCTCTTTTTTGCGGCTGGCACCATATAATTAAAAGGCCAAAATAAGGGATTTAAAAAGAGAATTTAAAAAAAAGTAAATAATATAAAATTAAGGCATATAATGAATGAAAAGAGATGAGGTTAAGACTTTTTTGTTTTAAAAAATATTAATAAATACATTTATAAAAAATCCGATTTATTGCAACAATTTTCGTTGAACATTTAAGCAGGGACGGTTATGGTTTAGTATGTAAAAAATTATAATGGTTACGTTTTGGTTACGGTTCTTGAAAAGAAATTTATAAAGGTTCGGTTCAACTAATTATAAAGGTTTAGTTCATTACGGTTAGAAATTTTTTTTTTATTGAAATCATCTTCTAATTTATTTATATTATAAGCATCTATGAATTATATATAAAAAAAATATATAAGATTCAAAATAACTCATTTTTAAATATATTATTTGAACTTAGCCATTTCTACAGAAACTTGTGTTGCGGGAACTGCCAGTATTATAAGAGAACGTTTATATAATCTGGATATTCAAATTATTTCTCTATAATATAAAAACTGAACCGGTTTAACCGTTTTTTCTAAAGGTTCTACTCCTTCAAAAAATAATTATATTCGGTTACGGAAAAATAAATTTTTTTAAAAAAAATATTTAAGGAAATTTGGAATCTTTTTTTTTAAAAAACAATTAAATTATATTTTTTTGCCGCCTGGCTGGCACCATAAAATTTTATTTTTAGAGAATGATTATATGAACATTATAGTTACTCCTAAGACTTAAATTGTAAATTGTAACATTGCCAATATGACCCTTCCATAATCAAAACTTACTTAATCGGGCATGGGCTTTTTTCTGTCCCTTTTACTTCCCATGGGCGCGCACAGGTAACTGCGGCCTGCCCAAAAATCGTGAATGGTCCTCTTAATTATTTTCCCATTTTTTATCCCAGTTTGATGGGTTTTTTCATAAGAGAACCAAGCGTTGCTCTGTTGTATATATAACTTTTGCTATATGTACGACGTTTAGGGGCTAGTGCGCTTAATATCACGTAATATGTATTACTTTTATGCTTTAAAAATATTTTTTGTTTTCAAAAAATTTTTCTTTTTTTAAAAAGAGCTAAATTAAATTAGAAAATATGTATTTTAGTTATAAAATTGCAAATTTATATTTATAAAAAAAATTTGTTTACGTTCGATCACGCCCAGGAAAAATTTTGGGAAGGCCCGTCACGCCTAATAATTTAAAATTTATTCACACTCACGCCGTGACCCACCGTTACACGATGGGTCACGTGTAATTTCACGGCCCGCGCCTACCTCTATTCATTATTATTTAATTGTTTAGATAAATTTTTTTTTCATTGATAAAATGGTTAAATTATTAAGAAATGGATCATGGTATTAAGAAGTCTTGGCAGTATAGGAGGTAGTAAGAATTTATCATCTCTTATATTATGCCATGAGCAATTATTAAATAAGCATTTGTATTATTTTGGTTAATATTTTTAGGCATATTTTGAAATAGGTAAAATAATTTTATGACAAGAAATCACCTAATTTGCTAAACATGGACCAAAATTTATTAAAATGTAATAAGACCCCCATTTATTATTAAATTTAATATGTATACGGAATCACGAGGTCGAGTCCTATATCATAAACCAGAAATCACTTGGTTATGGAAGTAAAACAATAAAAGAATTAAATAAAAAAAATCCACTGGTCCCCGGGTAGGATTCACTCGTTCCCAAAAAAAATTCCCGAAAAAATAACATTTTGAAAAAAATATTAGATATATTTTTTTGAAATTTAAAACTACTATAAAACTAATAGAGCTGACTAGAATGAGATATTTGCTATTAAAAATGACAAAGTACTTTTAATTTTAATAAGGTTTGCTTTTTAAGGCTCGACAAGACACAGGTCTCCTCTAATGAATGAAAAGGGATAAGGTTAAGAAGACACTTTTATTTTTATAAATTTATATAAAATCTTTACATGAATATATATTTATAAAATAAAAAATTTATTTATTGCAACAGTTATGCAATGCATTATGGCATTTGGTTGAACATTTAAGTTTGTTCTTGAAACTTTCTCAACGTTTGTTCATGCAACCCATTTTGCAATTGCATAACGAAGTTTTTCCATAGTAACGTATCGTGAAGCTCCTAAATTATTTTAGCACTTGAAATAAAAAGTTAATATATTTTATTAGGAGTATATATTATTACTATAAAAATAGCTTAAATTACCTATGATTGATATATCTTTATTGGGAATTTCAAAATCATTCAATTTTATAGTTTCATATAAACCAGAAGCAATAAAGGGTGTTGAAATTTTTCCAGGACACGTTCCTACCCATATTTTATTTTTTCAATTTTTATTACTTTTCCTTCTAATTTTTATGACAAATATTAGTTCTATCTGTCCTATGGATAGGTAATAATACGTGATCACCTAATATAAAGTTATTTTGTCCTATTATTTGAGAATAAATAATGATTTGACGCCCACGATCATTTAAATAGGAAATAAAAGAAGGGGACTTTTTAAAATATTAGAAATACTTTTCCCAATATTATTGGTAGCACAACTATTTTTCCATATAATTTTATGGCCAACATTTTTTGAACATGTGCTATTAGTAATATTATGAACAATTTGAAAGCGCGATTTTTTGTTTGAAACATTTACTACAACGGTGAGGGTCCGAAGCAACTGCTTCTAAAAATTTGAATGGGAGTACTTTAAAAAAATTTTTTTTTATTATTTAATTCTTTTATTTTTTTACTTCCATAACCAAGTGATTTCTGGTTTATGATATAGGACTCGACCTCGTGATTCCGTATACATATTAAATTTAATAATAAATGGGAGATCTTATGACATTTTAATAAATTTTGGTCCATGTTTAGCAAATTAGGTTGATTTTTTGTCATAAAATTATTTTACCTATTTCAAAATATGTCTAAAAATATTAACCTAAATAATACAAATGCTTATTTAATAATTGCACATGGCATAATATAAGAGATGATAAATTCTTACTACCTCATATACTGCCAAGACTTCTTAATACCATGAAAGATCCATTTCTTAATAATTTAACCATTTTATCAATGAAAAAAAATTTTATCTAAACAATTAAATAATAATGTTTAGAGGTAGTCGCGGGCCGTGAAATTACACGTGACCCATCGTGTAACGGTGGGTCACTGAGTGAGTGTGAATAAATTTTAAATTATTAGGCGTGACGGGCCTTTCCAAAATTTTTCCTGGGCGTGATCGAACGTGAACAATTTTTTTTTATAAATATAAATTTGCAATTTTATAATTTAAATATATATTTTCTAATTTAATTTAGCTCTTTTTAAAAAAAGAAAAAATTTTTGAAAACAAAAAATATTTTTAAAGCATAAAAGTAATACATATTAAATATCTCTAAAAATAAAATTTTTTGGTGCCAGCCAGGCGGCATAAAAATATAATTTAATTGTTTTTTAAAAAAAAGATTTCGAATCCCCTTAACCCTTCAATACTCCGGTGGGGTGTAGGAAACCCCAGGCATGCTGGAAATGATATTGCATAAAAACGGTTAATTATCATGATCTGGATTCTTCAGTAGCTTCATCAAATATTAGAATCTATATTCCAAATTTCACATATTTTGGTTGAGTAGTTTTTAACATATAAGCATTTTGTGACTGCTTGGGGTTTGTGAGACCCCACCGGAGTAAATTTGTAATTTTTTTTTAAATTTTTTTTTTAAAACTTTTATAATTATAAATATATACCACTATATTATAAAATTTATTAAAACGAAATTCGAATATAACATATTTTGAATGAGATATATAAAATTGAAAACACAAATATTTTTTCTGGTGGAGTTATTTTATGTTTTCTCCAACAAACTCTTTCTATCATCTACTATGATTTTTGCAGATTCTGAAAGTAAATATAAAATATATAAATGTAATATTTTTTTTTGAGGTGATTTAGATAATATAATTAATAGTGAGGATGAAGATTTTATGTATGATAGTGATCATGATACACAATCTGAATTAGATGAAGAAGAAGATATATTAGCTAAAACAGATAATAAGTTTAAGTATTATTTAGGTAAATATAAAATCGTTTATCATATTTCTCTTTAAAATTAGCTAAAAATAAGGTTACTCAATGGAAAAAGGATTTTCCCAATCAGAGAATAAGAACTCGTCAGCAAAATATAGTTATTGATCAGCCAGGAGTAAAAGAATATAGGAAATTAGCTGACACTCCAGAAAAAGTTTTGACTTGTTCATAACACCAAAAATGATTGAAGAGATAATTTATCATACCAACCAAAAAATTAAAATTGTAAGTCAAAATTATAATCAATATGAAAGTTCTACAAAAGAAGTTGATATAACTGAATTCAAAGCATTATTGGGAATTCTTTATTTAGCTGGAATTTTTAAATCTAACCATCAAAATATGTCTGATTTATGGAAATCTGATGGGTTTGGAATTGATATATTTAGAGTAACAATGCCTCTTAAAAGATTCAGATTTCTAATTCATGCAATGAGATTTGATGACATACTAACAAGAGAAGAGAGAAAGGTGGTAGACAAAGCAACACACATTAGAAATATTTTTCAAGATTTTGTTGATATTTTGTCAAATATGCAAAATAAATTTATGTTTAGAACACATTAATATTTTATGTAACAAATGTTTTGATTGTCAAATTTAACATATTTCAATGTTCAATATTTTTTTTATATTTGAATTTATCAGTGTAATTTTTTTTAATATTGAAGAATAAAGATCCATGTTATGAATTATCAGGATTATATGATGGATAAATTATTTTTTTAATTTTTAATTTCCAATTTAAAAAAAGTAAGCTTTTTTTTATAAAATTTTGGCACAAATTATAATTAACCTCACCATCTTTAATCTAAACTTAAGAAATAAAAATAAATAAATATTTTATCAAGTTTAAGGTTAGTTCTATCTTATATTCAAATATTAAATCAAAATAATGAATATAACTGGACATATATACATTTAAAATTGGGGTCTATTAAACCCCACTACTAACGTCATTTTTTTCACCGGAGTATTGAAGGGTTAAATATTTTTTTTAAAAAAATTTATTTTTCCGTAACCGAATATAATTATTTTTTGAAGGAGTAAAAAGAACCTTTAGAAAAAACGGTTAAACCGGTTCATTTTTTATATTTTAGAGAAATAATTTGAATATCCAGAATTATATAAACGTTCTCTTATAGTACTGGCGGTTCCCGCAACACAAGTTTCTGTAGAAAGGGCTAAGTTCAAATAATATATTTAAAAATGAGTTATTTTGAATCTTATATATTTTTTTTATATATAATTCATAGATGCTTATAATATAAATAAATTAGAAGATGGTTTCAATAAAAAAAAAATTTCTAACCGTAATGAACTAAACCTTTATAATTAGTTGAACCGAACCTTAATAAATTTCTTTTCAAGAACCGTAACCAAAACGTAACCATTATAATTTTTTACATACTAAACCGTAACCGTCCTTGCTTAAATGTTCAACGAAAATTGTTGCAATAAATCGGATTTTTTATAAATATATTTATTAATATCTTTTAAAACAAAAAAGTCTCAACTTCATCTCTTTTCATTCATTATATGCCTTAATTTTATACTATTTACTTTTTTTTAAATTCTCTTTTTAAATCCCTTATTTTGGCCTTTTAATTATATGGTGCCAGCCGCAAGAAAAAGTAATTAAATTATTTTATTTTTTTTTCATGGGGATTCGGAATATTTTTTAAATATTTAAAAAAAATATATTTAAAACAAAAGATCCCGAATAAAACGTAGGGATTCAAGATCTTGAATCCCCACGTTGGGATTCCGAATCCCACATGATTACATATCCCAATACGACATATATATTATAATAATAACAATTTGTTTCTTTTAAACTATCCTAATTGTAGAAATAGTAATATTAAAATAATATATAATACGATTTTTTGCATAGAATATATAATTTTTTTATTACATTTGATTCAAAGATGAATTGTAAAAAATAACTAATACAAATATCGGATCGGTGTTAAATGAAGATAGGAAAACATATGATCATCGGTGAATACATGTGGATCAACACAGCCTTACTTATTACTAATAACATTATTCTAATCACAATGTATCTCAGTTTTTTCTGCTATATCAGGTAGTGCTGTTAAACGACTCGATTTGAGCCTATTTTTAAAAACGGCTAACTCAATGTTTTATTCAGAAAAATATTATGCAACTCATGGACGACACAAAGGTTTGGAACATCTATTAACGAAATTTAGAGGCTTTGACAAAATTTTCCTGGCTAAAATATTGAGTTAGCCGTTTTTAAAAATCGGCTCAAATCTAGCCGTTTAAAAACAATAATATAAGAAACATTATAATCTACTAAATCGTTTTTCTATATCATCTTTGTTGCAAATAGAATTTCATTGCGATGTAAATATAAGAATTCATCTGGTTCGAAAAAACAATCTGCAAAACTTATTATGCATGTTTAAGTTAAAAATTTTATAAAATATATCATTATATAGAATGAAACAACAACAAAAATAATTAATAACCTTTCAAAAGCAAATTTTATCCAAAAAATATAAAAGTTAATTGTACTTCCATATGATTTGCATACCGTAAAAGGTACATAAAAATATTTTTTCAAAATAATTAAAAATTTATTTAAAATTCATTATTTACCCCAATTATATTCTAACATACAAGGTAGGAGATATTTATCCTTTTTAGAAATATGAAGAATAGGGGAATGGAGTTATTAATCTGAAAAAAAATTTTTGGTTAACAATTATGTTTGAGGGAAGAGGGGAAGGGGGTTGATAAAATCGAAAATGGTTAAAATTCTAGTTCAAAATCAATGATGTAGCATGTTAACCGTTTATGGGTTAATAATCAATCATAAGTTCACCGATAATTTACCTAATCTGATCTCTTGATCATGTCCTTTCCGTGCATCGTTCGAATCATTATCGAATGTACCACGAAGTAAATCCCATCGAGATGACACAACATCGATTAAATAGCCCAACCTACCTGTTCCAACTTTTGATTTCTCCCCTTTTCCTATAATATCTTTTTGGCCATCAATAAAGGATTCAGTGATAACATCGGTTTTGATACCGAAATAAAGTTGACTATTTTTATTAGAAATAGCATTGATATTATCATCATCATTCGAATCGATTTTAACAACATGATTCGCGTTATTTTCTTGGTTAATGTCACAATTATTGTAATCACGCAGGTCAACATTTTTTGAATTCTTTTGATTTGGTTTTAAGTCGTCTATAATATCATCACCATCACAACTTTCACCGTTATTATTATATTTTTGACCTGTAGCGAGATTATTAAAATTAAAACTATTACGAATAACACAGTTACTTTTACAAAAACTGTCGTCATTTTGGCGTATTATATAAAGATTTGTATCATTTAAATCATGTTCCTCTCTCAAAAGTGCCAATTTAAGATCTATCTGCCGTTTCCTTCGCCTATAAAAAGAATCGTATTCCCAATCCAACGGGCACGTCTGAAACATATTCCTAAAAGTATCTGGGATATTTGGAGAGAAAATCTCATCCCAAAAATAAAGAAATGTCAAGGTAGAAAAAACGGATCCTTCCGCATGCACACCTAAAATATTAAAATCATACATTTAAAAAAAGGAGCCAAATATAACAAATTTAAGAAGATACGAAAAAATAGTATATATTCTTAAATCGAAATTAAACCCTGCAACAGAACTGTATTTGTAAGTTTAATCCAGTCGGATAATATTCCCGATTTTTTTTGTCTATGTCTGACCTAAATATACCCGATCATTTTTATTCACCTAAATTAAACAAAAAACTATCATGAATAAGTACAAAATAAAATGCGAAAATTAAGAAAAAATTAAATCAGAAAGTTATTATAATTTTGATAAAAGGAAAGTATATAAGGAGTGCCTCTAATTGAACTGATATCCCCTTTGTTTTGACAATAAATTTGTCATCTATAAATAATTCGAGAACTATGTTACCGGATCAGCAGAAAACCGGTGTGATGGTGGTAAACCAAACGCAGCTCGTATTATGGAAAATGCTGATTCTGTTGAAACACTCGCATTCAGCCAAGAAGACCGACCTGACACCCATAAAACAATTCGTCAAATCCCGAGAAACTGGCACTTTCTGCTGATCCGGTAGCACCAATGTTTGCAATCAATCGATTCAAGGCAATTTCCTTCAAAAGCCTTACGCCTCCATAATGTTTTTCTTGTTTAAAAAATTTATTCAAGTCATCTTTAATGAAAACCATTTATGTAAAGTTCAATAAAAAATTAAATTTTTACATGTGGGAAAGTTTGAATTTTGTTTGTCCAACTTTTAATGTGCATAAATTTGGACTTTGATAGAATTTGATGAAATTTTTAGAAAACATAGATAATTTATCCCTCTCTCAATCTGTAAAATTTTATGGAATTTTGACAGATTTATTGCCAAAACAAAAGGGTATCAGTTCAATTTGAACACTATCCCTGAATCCTTAACATTGATTCAATTTTATTTCTTAATTTGCGTATAATTAGATAAAAAAAATGATGATGAGAAATATATCTACGCTTGACGGCACTTATAGCTTTCATTCATACATCGGTAGCATCGCTAGGTGGGGCAGGGAAAAAAGTTCTGGCCACCATTTTTATATTATTTTTTGGGGGATATGGATTTTTTGTATGTAGCTAAATATAAATATAATTTACTCAGGGACTATGAATAACGGCCATTTTTGTTCCGTTTCGGAATGCGTTCCTAAAAATATCCAATTTTATTTCTCCATATATACCAATTTTTACATTATGCAGTATTAAAATATTTTCTAAAAGATTACCATTTATATTTGTTAGGTGGTGTTATATAAATTTGAGTGCCGAAAAACACCTCTCAAATATTGGTTACATATTTAAGGATGTATCCGATATTTTTTATCGGATCGTGCCAATATTTCATCTTTTTTAAATATCGGTTATCGGCTTATATTATAAAATTTTCTGATCTGATAAAATGGCGTCTTAATGTACAAATAATTGTATATTATAAAAATTTTATAAAAAAGATCAAAATCCATTTTAATTATCAATTAAAATATTTATTTCAATAATATATTAGTTTATTACTTATTATGCAAATAGATTAATTTTATTATATAAATAAGTGATTTATCAATAGAAATATTTTATATACTTTTAGATGAATATAATCTATAACTGATAATATAATTAATAAATGATTTAAATTATAGATATTATATTAATAAAAAGTATGAGAGATGAGCATGTATGCATTAAAAACGGTTTGACTAAGCTACAAATGCCTAGGTAAACTGCAAATTCTTAGTTAAAAATTGTTGATATATTCCTTATTAATTGGAATGAGATTCATTTTCTTATGATATAAATAACTTATAAAAATTAAATTATTAGATATGTTCAATAATAAAGGAATATACAATAATAGTTGTATTTCCTTTTATCCATAATAAATAATAGTTTTCTTTAATATAATTATATAAAAATAATTATAATTACATTTAAAATTTCAATAATATTGAATCCGCAATCCCTTGCACTGCAAGTTCTCTCGCGGACAGCAACCCCGCCATAAATCCATTAACAACTGCCCTCAAAAAGTTAATATCCCACCCACTCTTCAACCAGTGGGCCTTTCAAATGATATCCCTTATCACCTGGAGGAATGGTCTCCCGTTGATCTGGAACTACACTTGTGTCGATTTTGCAGATAAGCATTAGTGTTCATACCAATCGTTACCAAAACCTTAGGCAAGTTGAAAATGAGACTCTTAATTTTAGTAAAACCATAGGCAAAAAAAGGAGTCGCGACCCCAGCGAAGGATTCTACCTTCGTCTCTCGAATTCTACCGATCCAATTTCCTAAGCATTCACTCTTCTCTAGAGTGATATGTGCCTTTTTTAAGTTCTTTATAATGTTTTTTATATAAAATTTATACATAATTTTTTTTATATGTTCTTATTTATTTTTTTAAATATATTTTATTTTGATGTAGTTTATATTTGTATTTAATTTTAAAGTGAAATAGCTTAAAATAAATAATTTATTTAAAAAATATATATATTTATGAATGAACGATTATAATATAATTATGTAATAAAATACATTTTTAATATTATTTTTAGGAACGTTATAAAAGTGTCGGGGAATGTTCCCGTTTCTTTCAAGTTCCATAATTTTCCCTAATTCTGTTTCATATCCCTGAATTTCTTTTTTTTAAAACTATTTCCTCCAATCCAGACCAAGTTGAAACTAGTGACGTCACCGATTCTCATTATATCAAATTCAAATTACAAGAAAATTCAGAAATTTAAAGGGCGATATTTTCACGAGAAGAAAATACAAGAGTAATTTACGAGAAAAAACACGTCCAGCTCAGTCCAAATATTGAAAATATATCTAAGTTCGATTTTGGGATGACGCTTTAGACTACGTATAAGATTTTTACTATTTATAAAAATTCAAAACAATATAATTATCAAATCAAATAATTATGGTAAATAGATAGTCTTTGTCCAAAAATCTAAACAATTTCTTTAAAAAAACGAAAATAAAACGATACTGGTTGATCTAGGAAAGAGCAATGACTATCTAGACTTCAATCATTTGATCGGGTATAGATACAAATCAGCTAGTGACACATTTTAATTCCCCATAGAAAAAATTTACATTTAAAACTTTATAAAAACTTAATTTTTCAAAGTTTCATTTATGTATAAAAAAATTTCATACTAAATTAAAATGGCGTATCGCCAACTGATTTGTATTCAGCGACGCTTAAAATGTTTTTAATGTAAGAATCATCAGTCTTGGTAAATATTATATGTGATGCCGTACTGTATACATACCATGAGTAAATCCGTGTTCAAGGTAATGATTCAGGGCTAGATTTTCGACATTACATAGCGACGTGGGATTATCTTCTTCTTTCTCCTCTTGTTCATAATTTTTATGGACTAAACCACTTTTCTGCTGTGACGGGATTTGAGAGGTAGTAAAGAATATCGTTTTTCCTTGTGCGGAAGGTTTTGGAAAAACTTTGCCACATATTGTTATCTTGAGAAATATGCGATAATATAATGCGATATTTGACAGGAAGGGCCATTCACGAAAAAATTATTTAAGAATATATAAATTTTTGAAACTAAAAAAAATAAGGAAGATTATATTGCAACTTTTCATCATATGGGAACGAATGAGAGCAACTATTCGCAAGGTCACGAGTATGAGATTCAAGAGCAGTTAGAGGAAATGTTAATAAACGATCAGCAGCAACATTAGTTTGTATGTAAGTTTTATTTCCTTTTAATTATAATCTTCCATATTTTTTTTGGTTTAAAAAATTATATATATCCCTAATATATATTATATACTGTAAAAAAAATTATTATTAAGAAGGGTACTCCGAATAAAAGGGGACTTGTCAAATAATTGTATTTCATGTTTTGATTATTATTTGTTTTATATATTATTATTTTTTACGTGTACACATTTTTTATAGCACGGCACTTGATTTTTTTTTAAATTTAACATTTACAATAATAAGGGTTGAAAATTAAATATTGATCTTTATAAAAGACAGTAAATAGTTATAAACAAAAAATAACTAAATTTCATATTAAATTTAAATCATAGTCAAAATATTAAAGGAGTCTAAAACTTAATCCTACGAATAGTGTTTAGAAAACCTCACTTTAAGGCGCTTTTTAAAAAAATACTAAATAAAAATTTTCGCCAAAAAATATAAACTAAACCTCGTTTTCCAAAAGACAGCAAAATCTCGAGGCTTAGATTATTTTTGGCTAAAATCTTGATTTAGCAAGCGTCTAAGTTGAGGTTTTCATCAACACTTTACATATATCAAATTAAAGAATAACCTATTCGTTTTAATCATCCTTTGTCGCGTTCGCGAGTAGATTAGGGCACGTTAGCCCGAGGCACATAGGACCATCCATATCAATCAAATTGTAACATTTTGTACAATATATTTTTTAATATTTAATTTTTATTTTATAAATCATAAAATTTTAAATTTCAGTACTTCTCATGATTCTAGTGGTCCTATCTACCCTGTTTTGACTTGAAAATCAAAATATATTAAAAACTTTCTTTGACCAAAAAAAATTGAGAAACAAAGTTAGTCAGCTACCGTTTGATTGTTCATTGTTAAATATAATCTTGTAACATAATATTATATACACTTTATAATAACAAATATTCACCAAAAATAATAAAACAAAATAATCATTTAAAACTTTCTGGATCGCGTTGGTTTCGAGATCTGGCATAATGACGTATTCTTCGTTGCATTTTGGGCACAATTTTTTATATCTATCGTATAAAGATAACCTATGACCAGTTCTAGCTTGTGGATCTTCGAGCCCAGATTTGACGATCTTAATGGCCTTAATTATTTTTTTTTCAGAATAGAGATAAATGTGTATGTAAGATAAAAAAAATATCAGTTAATATTCACCAAAAGACAATTTAGTATACTCATTAGTCATTACTAACTATAGTTTTAGATTTGTAATTTATAAATCATTCAAATATGGTGGCCATGAATATAATAGTTAATCATAATTGGAGATATCGATATCCTTTATATTAATAATTTCAAATATTCTATAAAACATATTTACAGATTATCAAGAATATATTTTTTTATTAAAAACCATTAATAGGTCTGGCCATTTTATTGCCTTAATAAAAAAATAATAATTTCTTAATCTTATCAACAAAGTGTTTAGGGTTGGAACATTTTATAATATTATTCTTTTTTCTTTTTAGCAATTTGGTTTATTATTAAGTCACATTTTTTTCTAGGGGTAAGATATTTTTATACTTATCCTTTCAGTTTAGATTCCGAACGATTAAACAGAATGAAGCATTTTTTTCCTTTCTTTCTTTTCTTCTTTCTTACAGGTGAAAAGAATATAACCTAAAATCGAAATATGTTTTGTGACAAAAAAACCGCCAAAAACAAATCAACAAAAATTGCCAATTTAAAATTATATAAATATAATCAAAGAAATAGTTACAAACAAAATTTCCCTTTTTAAAAAAACGCAAAAAAGTGGATATTTTGGATTGTTTGTGCAAAGCCTACCAATAGACATAGTTTTAAAATATAAATAATTAAAATTATATTAAATCCCCTGAAACTCAACTTCGAGAAAATTACTAAAAGACGATATAAAATTTAATTATATTACTTCTTTCGGATTTCTGAGATGCTTTTCGGTGATAAGCGCCAATCTATTCCACCAATGACCTCTACGTTTAGTTGCTAAATGGCTATGACGTAATAAATGCCTAAGCAATTTTGTGGCCTTCTCGTATTTTTTGAGCTTTTGGAGAGATTCGGAGGCTAATGATTCCAGCCTTAGAAAGACCGAGTATGCCGAATATTTTCTGAGGTACTCGGGCATGGCAGATATTCGATCCAATTCCTGCCTTAGATTTTCACTGTCCTCCAATCCATTCATAATCGATAAAAATTTGTTTTTTAATCCAATTTCCGCTTCAGTTTGGTGGACCTTGACTTCTTCCACGATCGATACTTCGTTCGGGTCATCATCACTTTCCCTGATTGTTTCTTTTTTGATCAGAATTTTGCGTGTGGGTTTTTTATGGATTGCGGGCGATTTGGCAGGAAAATGCAGTTTAAAGTAGAGTTGGACTTGTCGTGTCAAGCTGGAAGCTTCCGGACATTCATAATGTTGAAGTAATATTACAATAGAATTTTGGTAAATTTTAACACATGATTCATAACGTTTCTTCTCAAAATGTTCCATACTTTCGGAATACATGTTTAAGAGTGATTGAAAATGGTGAAAAGATTCTCTGGATTCAAATATGACAGTGTTTAGGTTATGGTTTATTTGGTAAGATGGAAAGGTTAGTTTACCAGTCTTAGACAATAGCATTTGATAAAATATATTTTTTTTTTCTTCCATTTTTTCGTAGAGACTCGAGGGCAAAGAGTATAGTGTAAGCAATTTTAAAAATATCTGCATCGGTGTTTCAGATAGCCTGATACTTTGTCCTAACATTCTTAGGCATCTTTTAATATTAAAATAAATATAATGATATAAAATAAAGGTGATAAAAGAATTTGAGATTGTTGAGACTAGAGCCAGATATAGAATTAAACTATTTTGGTAAGATTTGATATGCACAGTTTCAATACACTTAAGACTCTTAGGAAAAATTTCAGACCCTTAATTCCTAAGATTTAATTTACTGTTAAGGATTTGAAAACAAATTTTTTAAAAAAATTTATATAAAATTTTTAATCTTCTTTAAATTTTTTTGGAATCTCATGTTATCAAACTCTATAAGAAAAAATTAAAAAGACTATATTTTACTTGTGAATTCATATATTTGTAGTGATAAAGTAGCATAAATAAATTTCTCCTAGTTTATATATTTCCTTTAATTTTTGAATTCCAAATATAAATATTTAAATATTATATTTTTTTATAAAGTTGCAAATACTACCTTTTAAAACTAGTAGCTATTATAATGTTACTTTTGAAGTAATGGTTAACCAATATGTATTTGCATACTTCATAGAATATAATATATAGTTTTAATTTTTTTTCTTCAATTTTTTAAAATCTATTTGATATAATTTCACCGTCTAAGTGCAATATTCATCAACTAGAGATTTTAATCAATTTTACCAATCATAAATAATTCAATTTATTTTATCATTTATAATTTTTTTCATAGAATAAATATATTTAAATAATGATAGATAAATGAATTTTGTGTTCTTGATATATCAAATTTGACCAATATCTATTAAATTTGGTCTTTTGGCGCTTTAGTTATTAAATTGGCACTCAATGTCTATACCTTTGCGGGTAATTTCATGACAAATCACCCAGCGTTTCAGATGACCATTTTAAAATGGATGAAACTTAGCATGAATGTTAAATTAATTGTATATTTTATAAAAAATCAAAATTTTTTCAAAAGGGTTTAAAATCTCAAATTATAAGATAAATATAGTCCAATGTCACAAATTATTATCATATTATATTCCTTAAAATAAATTAAAAATATTTTCAATTTAATTGTATTTCTGGTAAAGAAAAAAACATATTTTGAGAGGGGGCTTGTTTAATAATGAAACTCACCAAATTATTAAAATATTTAAAAATTTAAGTAGAAATTTTGATGAAGAAAATAATAATTTAAATTTTATTTAGTTTCTATATGAATAAAAAAAATTTTCAAATAAAAATATATGTACACATACAAGATGAGCTTCAACATTTTAAACGCCCTTTATAATTGATTTTTTTTTATGTAACATAAAAATCAATAAAATTTAAATTCTAATTTTCTCCATCAATATTTTTACCAATATTTTTACTTAAATATTTAAATTTTATTTATTTTTATTGTTATATATATATATTTTTTGTCATATAGACCTGTACACGGAAGTGCTGCCCAAATTTTTTCATAAATAGACTTATCGTATGAAAATGTTGTTTTTTCCCTCAAAGAGAAATAATTGAAGAAACCGTCGTATACTTGAATTATAATAAAGACTTAAATTTAATCTTATCGGAAATGAGTGTCTAAAAAGTGGTGGATGTATAGTATATGTGCATTATTGGACTATGCCATTGATATTATCTTTCTGTTGACATTACAAATAACCAAAATATTTTTTTTGAAGTTAATCATAAATATTTCATAACGCCTGTATGAAAAGCTAAAAATTTGTTAGGTGGTGGGTGATACAGTATAATATTTTTGGACATTGGTATTAATATGGATGTGTAGTTTAATATGGGGAAGAAGGATGAGAAGTCGCAATGTTAAAATAAACGGACAAACTTTGACAATTGAAGGACATAATGAGGAGGAAGATGGGAAAGGTAAAGTGATTACCAGTTCAAGAATTAAATCAAGGATGGACGGAGAGTGATGTAAATGAATTAGTCCATAAAGCGAGTCCTACAATGGTAAAATTTTAGAAATTCAAAGAGGACCAAGAGAGAATTCACAGGGAAGAAGAATGGAGACAGGATTTAGATTCTCGCGGAAAAGGGAAATGAGAATTTAAATTGTAATAATTGTGGAAAACAAGGCATGGTCCGGGATTGTCGGGAAACTAAATGTTTCGAATGTGGAAAATATGGACATATAGCCGTATTGTCAGGGTAACCGAGAAAAATTGCGTGTGCGAGTTGCGGAAGATTTGGTCACAATAAAGAGAAATGTAATACTGGAAATTATGACAACAGCGGGTTTTCCATATAGGAATGGGTCAAAATACTTCAAATGTGCGGACTATTGAGAGTGAGAAAAGTGAAAGGGTCATTTTACCTAATGTAGAAGAAACCGAAGAGCAAAATGTAGAGTGCTTTAGATGCCGAAAAAGGGGACATGTAGCGAAAGAATATGGGTATGATAGCGAAGAAAATACAAGGTTCCAGACGAGGAAATTAAAGGAGACACATGTAAAGTGTGTTCTCATGAAAAAATAAATGTAATGGGGTGTGTAATTTTTACAAGGTAAAGTACAAAAAAATAAGGGGATTGACAGTTCAGGTGGTGTTAAAGACGTTAAAAAATCTTTGGGCAAGGTTCGGAGTAGCTCGAGCGATAGTATCTGATGGATGTCCAGCCTTCATAAGTGAACAGTTCAAGTTATTTTGTACTAAAAACGGGGCGAGACACATTTTGGCGCCGTATCACCGGAGTTCGAATGGTCAGGCGGAGAGGATGGTGTCGGGTGTCAAAAAGTGGTTACGAAAATCAAAGTATGGAGGAGGGGAAATTTGGATAGCAGTGGCATATTAAAGGAGAACAATCTACGATAGAGAAGTATTTAGGGAGGCGAACCCAGATATTATTGTATTTATTAAAGAAAATAACCGCGTCAAGAAGTGAAAGAGGAGACGAGTGAGACATCTGGCAAGAGCGTCGTTTACCAATCCGATGGTTCTGGGTTCGAATCCCAGCAACATGGTTCTTTCTAATCCAACTTGGTATTTCCGTCCTTGGGGCGATGATATATAGGAGGCCCGACTCGACCACGTGATTCCGTTATAATATGTGTTAAATAATAAAGGTCTTATTAAATTTTAATAAATATTGGTCGGTAATTAGCAAATTAGGTTGGTATTTGAAAATTGCTATACATTGACTTGGCAATATCTATCATTAAATATCATATATGTGCAGGGTTGTCATATCTCTCCCCATCAGCGGGAGACTCCCGCTATTTTTTAGTTTACACGCAGACATCTCTCTCCCGCAAAATTACCGCAATTAAAAATCTTTTGCAAAAATCTACCGCAATTTTTTAATTTCTCCCGCTTAGTCAGTATAGGGGAGTATATCAACATCGATTGCAATACAAAAATATTCTCAAATAATAAATAATACAGATGCAATTACATTTGCGGAAATCGTATACATCTATCATGTAGTTCAACATTCACAGAGTTATATCATCACAATGTGGGTCGAATCTTTTTCTCATGATATTAAACGACTCCAATATAAGTGCAAACCTTACTTGTGACAGAACAAAAATGAGCAAGGCTATCACAAGTGTTTTAGTACCTGAATCCTAAAGGTCAATTCTAGACGATTTGAAAGATGGGCATCCATATGCAATTATAACAGATGCAACTAATAAGAGAAATATTAAAACATTTCCCTCGATCCTTCGCTATTTTAACAAGAATAAGAACATTTCAATAAAACTGTTAAAAATTTTTCCTCGGATAAAGAAAAATCCAACGATGTAGCTAGCCACATAATGGTAAATATAGCTGATTCAGGGTTATCATGATTTGCATGTCAGCTTTCTGTGCTGATAAGGACAGCTTTTATAATCTTTATTTAAGAAATATTTTTTTAAAGGTTTATAAAATTTTAAAATTCTATCGATGGCGGGTATTAGGAACATATCGCAACCAACATTGTGCTAACTTAATTCTGTAAATACACTCTGTTTTTACCAAATTCACTGAGGCGTTATCAGATCAGAAAACTGACATGCAATTTATTGATAATCTCGAATCTGCTATATTTATTATTATATGGTTAGCTATGTCTTTGGATTTTTCGCTATTCGAGGGGAAAAAATTTAATAGTTTTATTGAAAAGACCTTAATTTTGATGAAATAGCGGAGGATCAAGGGAAATATTTTAATATTTCCCTTATTAGATGCATCTATTAGAATTGCATATGTATGCCCATTTTTCAAATCATCAAAAATTGACCTTCTGGATTTAGGTCCTAAAAAATTGATGATAGCCTTGCTCATTTTTGTTTTACAACAAGTATAGTTTTCATTTATATTAGTTAGTTAAATATTATAAGAAAAAGATTCAACCAACATTGTGATCATAAGTATCTCTGTGAGTGATTACAATTGCCGCAACTGTAGTTTCATCTGTATTATTTTTATTTTTGGAGTACCTTATTATGTATTTAAACGTGATACGTGATAATTAAGCGACTATCCCTATAATGTTATACACACACTGTAGATTTCCAATTGCGGTCGTTTTGCGGGACATTCACATAAATATATTTTTAATTGTAAAATTAAAATCGTTTTTTTTATATAAAATTTTATCTTGTTTACATTCTTTTATATATAAAAAAGATCGTTGGTTTTTTTTTATAAATTAATATATTTTAATATATCAAGATGTTATTTTATTTTGTAAAATAGTTATTAACTTTGTATTTATATAAACTAAATAAAAAATAATAGGCGGATAATTAAGTCAATTCAAAATCCCCGGCCGCAAAAAATTTTTTTAGCAATTTTTATATTTCTACCGCAATTTTTATATTTCTCTCGCATAATACCAAATTTCTCCCGCAATTTGAAAATTTTGACCTGGCAACCCTGTATATGTGTACATATATTTATTTAAATTTCATTTAATTTTATGTTAGAAATATAAAAAATCAATTATAAAGGGTATTTAAAATGTTGAAGTCATCATGAAATTTTTTTTATTCACAAGTGTAATAAATTAATAAAATATTATTTATAGATATTATATATAAAAATAGAATAGAAAATTAATTAATATAAATTTGATGTTTGAAATAAATTGAAATATAAATTAGTAGTCGTATTGTTTATAAATTAGTAGTTGTATTACTACAAATGGCGACGATAAATGGAGAAAATAATTCCTTAAATGAAGATTCAAAAAAAAAATAGCGGATTTATCTACGATTAAATTTGATAAATTCGAGTTGGACACTTCAATCTCGAACGGGATATAGCCCTCGAAGTTCTTGGTATTCTCACATAATCAATTGAAATTAGCATAGCATATATTAACCTAAATAAATATGTCATATTATTATCGAAAAACCATTTGCATTATTAGCTCAATAGCTACAACCCAGCCCCCGTCTTGGAGTAATACTCCCCTAAAAAAGTAAAATAACTTAGGGTTTATCTGGACCAGAGCCGGGTAAGAGGACAGGCAATACCCCTCCTCCCTACGCCTTCGAGCCAAAATGTTATCATTATAACCGCTTGGGGGGAAAAATTCTTAAGGGGCTCAAATCTAGCCCTAAAGGACTCATCATTCACGTGGACGCTTCATCGACTCATATCGGTATCGCAGATGGAATCGACCGCTTCTCCTTCACGTTCGAGGAAGCCAAGCATGCCCTCGAAATACCGGGCCAATCAACCCACCACATAAATCAGAAGGAGCTATTAGCCATCTGGGTGGGTTGTAAATATGCAATGAATAAATACGGTACGGTAACCGGCGTTGGTCACTGACAGCCAGGTGGCTTACACCATAATCAAGAAGGGAGGATCCAGATCCCCAGCATGCGAGTTCTTGGTTACTAAAATCATGTTAGCAATCGGCTTCCTAAACTTCGTCCACCTGGCTCGGAACCTTACCTGGATAGCTACGGAAGCAAACTTGGCAGACCAACCCAGCAGAGCCTGGACGGGCAATGAGGAGGCACACAACATCTTGCACGATATCAATGTGGAGGGCTTACCCCCTATTGATCAAGCCTTCCCATTCATGAGAGCCTCTACGCCCCTCAGACTAGACGAGGAAATAGATGGGCAAAACATCATTATCCCCGAGGTAACAAACATCGACGCCCTGGAACAGGACTTCGACCCGGCCATATTCGACGATACCCTCAATCTAACAGACACCGACGAAACTATAGCCTCGGCAGTATTGTTAGCCAACGAGGAACAGCGAGCTTATGGTCCCGAGAAACATTAGCCCTTTATACCCACCTTCATATTAATCATATTATCAATTGAAATTAACATAGCATATATTAACCATGTAAATAAATATGTTATATTATTATCGAAAAACCATTTGCATTATTAGCTCAATAGCTACAACCCGGCCCCCGTCTTGGAGTAATACTCCCATAAAAAAGTAAAATAACTTAGGGTTTATCTGGACCAGAGCCGGGTAAAAGGACAGGCAATACCCCTCCTCCCTAGGCCTTCGAGCCAAAATATTATCATTATAACCGCTTAGGGGAAAAAATTCTTAAGGGGCTCAAATCTAGCCCTAAAGGACTAGTGAAATAAAGTCCTATACCTATAAATAGGTAGTCAAGGAAATAAACAATTGTTTTTTGATTAAATTCTACAAAATAAATTGTTTTATTTCTTGATCGTTGTGCCCCAAAAATTTTCCCCCCAAACGTCAATCATTGTTTTATCATTGTATTCGCTTTTATATATCAATCCGCGATATTATTATATAATTACTATTCGCCATTATTGTTCTGATATTATATACAAATATTAATAAAAACAGTTAGATGGCCCGGCGCGGCCTCAGGGCTCTCCAGTACCTTGTGTACTGGGGAGTCCTCTCAATGGGAAGCCAGTTTTCGGTTAAAAAACGTAAGCCCATCTGAATGTCAATATAAAGATATATTTTTAACATTTTTTGGCAATAAGAATATTGAGTTGGTGGACCGTTTTTGTTATCCTGATTCGATCGAAACTTTATCTTTTAAGGAAATTAAGTCAGTATGTTTTAAACTATTTAGACGTCAACAGCTTTTGCTTCTAGATTTGATTTAGTTAGATTACGGAGAACAACTGAAACCATAACTGAATTTGCAGATAAAATTGGAACAATTGGCAAGCGTTGTCATTATCTTAAAGATATTGACGAGCGTTTACGTGATCAGTTTATGGTTGGCATGGAAATACCGGGATTGAAAAGAGATCTTAGAGCTCTATATCCCGACGGTCTTGGTAGAGATAATAATGTACTGACTTTTCAATTTATTCTTGATCTGGCATTAGCTTCTGAGCGAGCAGATAAAGAAATGGCAAATAAAAATATGTCTGTTGTTAATAAAATAAATGATAATAATAGAAGAAATGATAATGATAATAATTATAAACATCCAATTAAAATGACGACTACATTTGATAAAGGCTATAATAAAGTCAAGTAAAATAATACATTTAATAAAGAGAATAATAAATACAAATATAATAATGATAAAGATTATAATAAACTTAAATGTTATAAATGTGGTTTTATTCATAACCGAGAAGTGAGATGCCCAGCTACAAATGCGGCATGTAATAAATGTAAAAAAATTGGTCATTTTGCAGTTTGCTGTAAATCAAAGAATTTAAATTATATAAGAGTGTCATCAAGTGATTCTATTCATAATATTTGGAGGATTCAACAAAATCGAGAGAATCGAGCAAAACTAACTGCAGAGATAAATGGGTTAAATGTTGAATTTGATTTTGACACTGGTGCAAGCGTCATTGATAGGAATTGATATATGGACAAGTATTGGGCGACCAAAAATTAGGCCAACAAGTCTATTGACTGCATATGGTGATCATCCGTTAGACGTCAAGGGCGAGACCCAAGTCAATGTTAGGATTGGATCTCAGACAAGGACCCTATCAGTGGTAATAATGAATACAACTGAGGTGCCTCTTTTCGGATTACCATGGATTATAGCATTCAATTTAGAAATGCCTCGTCAGGTTATGATTAAACAAGTACGCAATTTGGTCAACAATATTGAAAAAGGAAAATGTTGCATAACACTAGATTCTAGAATTCAAGATTTGATTAATAAACACCAAGAAATTTCGGAAGAGAATCAAGATTCTACACATGCTTTGGATATTCGAAGTATTAATTTGGATGATATGCAATTGTCAGAAAATATTCTACGAAAAGAGTTGAAGCAAGATTTAATATTAAAAAAAGTAGCAATACATATTCAACAAAGTTGGCGAAACTTTGATCGTCATAAAGATAAAGAAATAGTTAATTTTTATAATCGACGGGAAGAGCTTTCTGTCAATCGTGATATTATAGAATGGAATGGGAGATTGGTTATTCCTAATAAATTAAGAAATGATGTGTTAGGAATGATTCACCGGGGACATTCTGGGGAAAATGTAATGAAATCTATTTTTAGATTGTATTGTTGGTGGCCCAGATGTGATGTTGATATAGAAAATTTTATCAAAATATGTTCTGGATGCCAGAAAAATAGACCATGGTTAGAAGTTGATCTAATGCAAAATACCTCTGCTGATGCTATGATAAAACGACTAAATAAATGGTTTGCTAGGCTTGGAATACCCAAGTACATTGTGTAAGACAAAGGACCACGATTCTTATCTGGGCAATTCCGTAGGTATTGTGATTTAAATAACATACATCATATACGTTCGGCACCCTATCATCCAAAAACTAATAGATTAGCTGAACGTACAGTACGAACTTTGCAAGGTCGGTATTATGTGACGACACGAGAGATTCAATTAGCGTTCCCAAAGAAGCTATGACACAAGTTTTAACAACCTACCAATTGGGAGAGCATAGCTCCACAGGGAGATCTCCTAAAATTATGTTTGGGAGGCAATTGAAAACAAGTCTGGATTGGATCCGACCAAATGCCGAACAAGAAATAGTAAGGGCCAATGATAGACAAAGCCTTCATCATGATTTACATTCAATGGAAAGAGAATTTAAAATCTTAACCTATATGGTTATATAATGAAAATACCAATGGTTGGAGAGAGGGAGTAATTAAAGAAAGAATAGATTCTTATATTGTTGAATCTACCGGGAAAATTACGGAAGCATGCAGATCAGTTAAGAAATAGTTTAGTTATCCCAAATCATGAAAGTTCTTTGGAAGTTACAGAAATGGTTGTGCCAGTGAATGAAGCAAATACAAACACAAATATCACATTACGAATCTAACTTTAAAATGTTTGAAGGAAATGTAATAAATTAATAAAATATTATTTATAGATATTATATATAAAAATAGAATTGAATATTCTAAAATTAATTAATATAAATTAGATGTTTGAAATAAATTGAAATATAAATTAGTAGTATTACTACAACAAGGTTATAAAAACTAAATAAAATTTAAATTCATATTTTTACCTAAATATTTATATATATTAGTAATAAACATATTTTATGAGTTTCAACATTTCAAATTAGATCTTCTCATGATAATTTTTTTAGATTTATATAACATATACACTATATAACCTATATGTCTAGTTTCATTCATCTAAAAAGGGTCATCCAAAAATCACATTATTTCAGTCTATGCCATGGAATTGACCCTCTCTAGACTATATTTTCTTTTCAATAATTTATTTGCAATCATGCACTTTAATCAATTTAATCTAGCTAAATTGTAAAATATGTCATTTTTTCCAACTTGAATCTCTAATCCTCTAAAAAAAATTACCAACAGAAAACTTTTGTTTAAGGGTTATATTCATTTTATTTGGCCAACAAATTTTACTAAAGTCTAAAGGGGTCTGATAAAAGAATGCCATTAATTTGAATCACCAAGACAGCATTTTTCATAAAGATAAATTAATAAAAATTATGATAAAGAGGTATACATAGATTTATAAATGACATATAGAAGCACAATCATACTTTTTTAACAAACTAGATTTGAGTGATGTTGAAGAAGGAAAAATGGATGGTTTAGAACTAATCTTAATCAAATCATCTATCATTTTAGTCTTGTTTAAAGTTCCTTTGTTAAAAATAAAAGTTTGTCTATAAATAGTTTGAAGTTCTGGTGCTTGCAAGAGCTCTAGCAAAGTTTTTAGATCGATAAAAGAATCTTTTCCTTGTTCAAAGGCTAAAATATTAATGAAACAAAAAGTACATAAAATAAATTACCAATATCAAAAAAATTATGATCAGCTAGTATTTTGCAGCAATTCAATATATCAATATTTTTATAATTAATTTTTTTAATAAGAATCCATCTTCGCTTTCTTGAAAAAATTCTAAGATACAAAATTTGACAATCTTTGGATAGTTTATTAAAGTTTGTTGTTAATAATTTGTCATCTTCATTTAATAATTTGGAATCAAATTCATGTTTTAGAATGTAATTAATTATTTCTTTAAAAAATTCTAAAAAATATGGAATATGAGGCCCCTCATTATCTTGATCACCCGATAAATGAGATTTATTATTTGATTCCATAAATGTTTTAAATTCATCAAATTATAAATTACATCATGATTTTATATTTATTTAACTTGAATGATGTCAACATCACTTATGATGGGCACTATTAAACTACGAATCGGTATTTCAAAATTTTTTTATTTACATAATTATTTATTTAAAATTTCTATCATAATATTTAAAACATATAAAATTAAAAATAAGAATTGCGCAAATTAATGTTAAATTAAGATAAAAGTATGAAAATTTAGATTACTAAACTACAAATTGCCGTAATTAATGTTAAAATAAAATGAACTATGAACTGCCATAATTAATGTTCAATTATAATAACTAAACTACAAATTACCGTAATTAATACTGTAGTAATACCTACTACTAATTATAAACAATACGATTATTAATTTATATTTCAATTTATTGTTGACATCAAATTTTTATTGATTGTTTTTCGAATGTTCGATTCTATTTTAATATACAATATCTATAAATAATCATTTATTAATTTATTACATTTCCTTCAAACAATTTAAAATTGATTTCTTCAATAAACCTCTTTGTAGGTTTACGGTTTCTTGATGAGCAACGTAATGTGGTATTTGTATTTGTGTTTGTATTTGCTTCATTTACTGGCACAACCATTTCTGTAACTTCCAAAGAACTTTCATGATTTGGGATAACTAAACGATTTCTTAACTGATCTGCATGCTTCCGTAATGTTTTCCCGGAAGATTCAACAATATAAGAATAAAGTCCTATTCTTTCTTTAATTACTCCCTCTCTCCAACCATTGGTATTTTCATTATTTAACCATATAGGTTGTGAGATTTCAAATTCTCTTTCCTTTGAATGTAAATCATGATGAAGGCTTTGTTTATCATTGGCCCTTACTATTTCGTGTTCGGCATTTGGTCGGATCCAATCCAGACTTGTTTTCAATTGCCTCCCAAACATAATTTTAGCAGGAGATCTCCCTGTGGAACTATGCTCTCCCAATCGGTAGGTTGTTAAAACCTGTGTCATAGCTTCTTCGGGATCGCTAATTGAATCTCTCGTTGCATAATACCGACCTTTCAAAGTTCGTACTGTACATTCAGCTAATCCATTAGTTTTTGGATGATAGGGTGCCGAACGTATATGACGTATGTTATTTAAATCACAATACCTAGGGAATTCCCCTGATAAGAAATGTGGTCCATTGTCTGACACAATGTACTTGGGTATTCCAAACCTAGCAAACCATTTTTTTAGTCGTTTTATCATAGCATCAGAAGAGGTATTTTGCATTAGATCAACTTCTAACCATTTGGAATAAGAATCGACACCTATTAGCCAGTATCGCGAATCTACTGGTCCAGCAAAATCAATATGGATTCGCTCCCAAGATTCCTTTCCAACAGTCCAAGAATATAGAGGTACTTCTTGAATACTAGGTCTATTTTTCTGGCATCCAGAACATATTTTGATAAAATTTTCTATATCAACATCACATCTGGGCCACCAACAATACAATCTAAAAATAGATTTCATTACATTTTCCCCAGGATTTTCCCAGTGAATCATTCCTAACACTGCATTTCTTAATTTATTAGGAATAACCAATCTCCCATTCCATTCTATAATATTACGATTGACAGAAAGCTCTTCCCGTCGATTATAAAAATTAACTATTTCTTTATCTTTATGACGATCAAAGTTTCGCCAACTTTGTTGAATATGTATTGCTACTTTTTTTAATATTAAATCTTGCTTCAACTCTTTTCGCAGAATATTTTCTGACAATTGCATATCATCCAAATTAATACTTCGAATATCCAAAGCATGTTTAGAATCTTGATTCTCTTCCGAAATTTCTTGGTGTTTATTAATCAAATCTCGAATTCTAGAATCTAGTGTTATGCAACATTTTTCTTTTTCAATATTGTTGACCAAATTGCGTACTTGTTTAATCATAACCTGACGAGGCATTTCTAAATTGAATGCTATAATCCATGGTAATCCGAAAAGAGGCACCCCAGTTGTATTCATTATTACCACTGGTAGAGTCCTTGTCTGTGATCCAATCCTAACATTGACTTGGGTCTCGCCCTTGACGTCTAACGGATGATCACCATATGCAGTCAATGGACTGGTTGGCCTAATTTTTGGTCGACCAATACTTCTCCCTATATCAATTCCTATCAATGACGCTTGTGCACCAGTGTCAAAATCAAATTCAACATCTAACCCATTTATCTCTGCAGTTAGTTTTGCTCGATTCTCTCGATTTTGTTGAATCTTCCAAATATTATGAATAGAATAACTTGATGACACTCTTATATAATTTAAATTCTTTGATTTACAGCAAACTGCAAAATGACCAATTTTTTTACATTTATTACATGCCGCATTTGTAGCTGGGCATCTCACTTCTCAGTTATGAATAAAACCACATTTATAACATTTAAGTTTATTATAATCTTTATCATTATTATATTATTATTTATTATTCTCTTTATCAAATGTATTATTATACTTGACTTTATTATAGCCTTTATCAAATGTAATCGTCGTTTTAATTGGATGTTTATAATTATTATCATTATCATTTCTTTTGTTATTATCATTTATCTTATTAACAACAGGCATATTTTTATTTGCCATTTCTTTATCTGCTCGCTCAGAAGCTAATGCCAGATCAAGAATAAATTGAAAAGTCAGTACATTATTATCTCTATCAAGACCGTCGGGATATAGAGCTCTAAGATCTCTTTCCAATCCCGGTATTTCCATGCCAGCCATAAACTGATCACGTAAACGCTCGTCAATATCATTAAGATAATGACAACGCTTGCCAATTGTTCTAATTTTATCTGCAAATTCAGTTATGGTTTCAGTTGTTCTCCGTAATCTAACGAAATCAAATCTAGAAGCAAAAGCTGTTGACGTCTAAATAGTTTAAAACATACTGACTTAATTTCCTTAAAAGATAAAGTTTCGATCGAATCAGGATAACAAAAACGGTCCACCAACTCAATATTCTTATTGCCAAAAAATGTTAAAAATATATCTTTATATTGACATTCAGATGGGCTTACGTTTTTTAACCGAAAACTGGCTTCCCATTGAGAAAAATATCTGTGGATAGAAGTGTCCAACTCGAATTTATCAAATTTAATCGTAGATAAATCCGCTATTTTTTTTGAATCTCCATTTAAGGAATTATTTTCTCCCTTTAAGGAATTATTATCTCCATTTAAGGAATTATTTTCTCCATTTATCGTCGCCATTTGTAGTAATACCTACTACTAATTATAAACAATACGATTATTAATTTATATTTCAATTTATTTTTGACATCAAATTTTTATTAATTGTTTTTCGAATGTTCGATTCTATTTTAATATACAATATCTATAAATAATCATTTATTAATTTATTACAAATACTAAAATGACTAACTTGAGAATTGACTTAATTTATTTTAAAAAAATTAAATTTTATGGTTTAATATTTTAATATATATCTTTTTAGGTTTTCAACCCCATGAGAACAGAAAAGATATTCTAAAATGTTTGGCCGGAGTGTGACAAAAATATTTTGCGAGCACAATCAAAACCTTTTAATGTCGTTCGCTTTAAGTGCAAACACTTTTAAATGTAAAAAAACTCCGCGATTTTGATAAAAATTGCCAGAGGTGTACATTTGCTCAAAATAAAAAGATCTTCAAATTTATTTTTTAAAAATTTTGTGTAACGATCTTCAAAGATCTTCATGATATTTATTTTTTTACCCCTTTATTAAAAGCCCAGATGTTTTACAATTTTATTAATATAATATTTCTTTTATGTTTTATACCTCTCCTCCTGCCTTGATGAAAATTGAAAAATTTCTGGGCTTTTAATAATGGGGTAAAAAAATAAATATCATGAAGATCTTTGAAGATCGTTACACAAAATTTTTAAAAAATAAAAGATCTTCAAATTTTACGATCTTCAAAGATCTTGCTCAAATTTTTGAGCTAGATCTCGCTCAAAAATCTTCAAAGAAGATCTTTTGTACAACTCTGAAAATTGCTATGGCATAATGTTAAATTGCATTTAAAATTGCAAATCGGTTAATTGTGATCAGAGAAATGCATAATTTTTCAGGCCCCGTTTATATGACAATAACGTAAATTTAAAAAAATATATAAAATTTATCGAAAAAAATTATTCGTGATTTTTTTTACATGAACTTTTTTTAATACAAAAAGGGATTTTATTATACATTATAATCATGTTAAAATTATTTTTTGAATAAAACATCATTCCAAATGTTAACCCTCAAACAAAAGGGGGAAATCATTGAAAATTTAAGCATTACTTCAGAAACACAATATTTCCATAATTTACAGATTGGAAGCTAATAAAGCATATATCCCCTTTGCAACTAAAAGTGTTAGAATGGATTGTTACCCAAAGACAGAATCAGCCTCATTGTTTTGGGTTACCAATTGCAAAGTAAAAATTGCAGTCTAAATGGGACAGTGATTCTAGCAAAAGCTATATTTTTATGAAGATGAAAAAGTGCAATGAATATAGCAAAAATAGATTCCCATCTCTGATTATAATCTTTATAAGTGTGATGAGGCAGGACTATTCTGAAGAGCATTAACAAAGTACACAATGGAATTTAGTGGGACTCAATCAATTGGCTTCAAACCAGACAAGTAAGAGGTTCAGTTCTATTGGGAATGACTAAAATACGCGTCCCCGAAAACTACGCGTCCCTACGCGTCCCAGGTCAAAACGACTTATTTTTATTAATATTAATAGGAAATCTTATTAAGCTTTATAAGATGAGTTAGAAAATGTTTTTTTTAATTTAAAAAAAATACGGTAACTATATAAAATTTATAAAAATTTATTTTTTTAAAAAATAAACTACGCGTCCCTACGCGTCCCCGGTCAAAATACAGCTTTTTTTAAAAAATCAAAACGGATTCATATTTAGCTCATTAAAAGAATACAGAATATGTAAATATTATATTTTAAACTATTTTATAACTTAGGGATTTTTTCAAAAAACACTTTTTTTTTCAAAAACACTACGCGTCCCCGGTCAAAAAACTGTTTTTTTTAAAAAATAAAAGCAGATTCATGTTTAGCTTTTCAAGGAGATTCAGAAAATGGTATTAATAAAAAAAATCGCGTCCCCGGCCAAAATACAGTTTTTTTTAAAAAATCAAAACGGATTCATATTTAGCTCATTAAAAGAATACAGAATATGTAAATATTATATTTTAAACTATTTTATAACTTAGGGATTTTTTCAAAAAACACTTTTTTTTTTCAAAAACACTACGCGTCCCCGGTCAAAAAACTGTTTTTTTTAAAAAATAAAAGCAGATTCATGTTTAGCTTTTCAAGGAGATTCAGAAAATGGTATTAATAAAAAAAATTTAAAAAAAAAATTTTCGAAAAATTTTTTTTTGGCTAAACTACGCGTCCCCGGCCAAAATACAGTTTTTTTTAAAAAATCAAAACGGATTCATATTTAGCTCACTAAAAGAATACAGAATATGTAAATATTATATTTTAAACTATTTTATAACTTATGATTTTTTCAAAAAACACTTTTTTTTTCAAAAACACTACGCGTCCCCGGTCAAAAAACTGTTTTTTTTAAAAATAAAAGCAGATTCATGTTTAGCTTTTCAAGGAGATTCAGAAAATGGTATTAATAAAAAAAATTTAAAAAAAAAATTTTAATCAAAACGGATTCATATTTAGCTCACTAAAAGAATACAGAATATGTAAATATTATATTTTAAACTATTTTATAACTTATGATTTTTTCAAAAAACACTTTTTTTTTCAAAAACACTACGCGTACCCGGTCAAAAAACCGTTTTTTTTAAAAATAAAGCAGATTCATGTTTAGCTTTTCAAGGAGATTCAGAATAATTTTGGTAGTTGAGAATTCAAATAAAATATTTAAAAAAGCCAATGTCTAGCCCATATTTAAAATTAAAAAATTTTCAAGGATATCTATTTTAAATTTTACCCAAGTTGATTTCTATCATAAATGTAAATTATGATATTTCTAATACCCTTACATTGCAACATTTTTACCTCTTTTTCTCCTAAATATTAATATTTTTATGAAATATATTAATAAAGCATATTTAGTATCGTATACACCTAACTAATTAGTAATTACCCATCAACCTCGTCATTCTGATTAAATTAAATTAATTTTATAAAAAAAAATTTTAATATATATATATATACAAATATATCAAAATATAAAATTGACGGGGGGGGGCTCAATGGTTAGAACGTATGCCTTCCGAACGATAAGTTGCTAGTTCGAATCCCGTTTTGCCATAAAAAATTTAAAAAAAAATTTTTTAACATTAGCGAGATAATAACAGCTCTCGATTTATTTAACATTAAGATGATAGGAAAGTTGATAGAAAAAAAAAAATTTAACATTAGGAGATAGGAAAGTGAAATTAACGTTAAGAAGATATCAAAGTTGATAGAAAAAAAATTAACATTACCAAGATACGAAAATGTTCACATTTATAGATAGATAGATATATATCATATTAAATCAATGTGTTAAAAAGCTAAAAAATCAAACAAAGTTGAGTGTTCTAAATCTGATTGATGAATTAGAAAATATTATAATTATAATTTATTTTTCATTTATGAGTAATAAGTTTTTTAAAATAACTTTCTAATCTTACATTAATAGTTAAAATTTATCATTTTATATGTTTTGTATATGGGAGACTGGGGTTAGGATCCCGGGCTTGGCAAACCACTTAATCTCATTTCAAAATTAAATATCCTAATATAGTTTTTATTAGTTTACATCTATAGACAAAAAATCTTTTGAAATATTTAATTTATTAAAGATTTTATTTAAGAAATAAAATTTTGATGAAATTTTTAAAAAATTTTTATATGACAAAATTTTAATTTTTATTAAAATATATAATCATTTATATCTAAATTAAATTTTATAGTTAATTTTAAACACTCTTCTATAATTTGGAAAAGTTCAATGTGTATTTATTATATCTAGATAATATTTCAAATCCAATTATTTTTTTGTAATAACAATATAAATAGTTATTTTTAAGTTTAAATATTACCAATTATTAAAGTCCTATAATTTGAAATTTTTGACTATAATTATTGAAAGTAAAAAGGCATATAAAAATAAATATATTATATTATTATATAAACTATAAATAGATATCGAAGATGAAAACAACATCATATTATAGTTTGGTCAATGATTGAAATTGGAAAACTAAATCGTGATACGTCGGAAACAACATTCTATAAAGACTACCGTGATTGAAACACCCACATTATTTTACAACAAACGAATATTTACATTTTTTTACCAGAGTTGTTAAACGCTATTTCTAAAAGTAGCGCGCTACCGTAATAGCTATTTGTCAAAAAAAGTAGCGCGCTACCGCTTTCGCTATTTGTCAAAAAAAGTAGCGCGCTATTAGCTACTTTTTTTCAAAAGTAGCTTTAGCTACTTTTAAGCTACTTTTATAAAAAAAAATTTAGAAACAAATGAAACAAATTTTTTTTATTTTTTTTTTGCTTATAATGTAAATGTATAATAAATAATATATAAAAATCAACATTTATAAATATAAAAATATAGTTAGTTTAGATTATAAAAAAATAAGCAATATAAATAAATATTTATTTTAATTTGTTGCATTTTAATAATAATATCATTTCAATATTATCATCCCCAAGTCTAGAGCGACGATCAGAAAGTATAAGCTTTGCTTTACTAAATAATCTCTCGACACTAGCACTTGAGGGCAAGGGGGTATTAAATTTCATATATAAATTTTTAATATATGAAAAATTATCAAAAATATTCATCTCAATATATTTTGATTGAAAAAAAAGATCAATTGGATTTTCTATTAAATCATCTTTAATTTCAAAAAAATTATTTGAGGATGTCTTCGTGGTAGATACTCGGCAATCTCTGTTTGTTGGAGTAAGATTATTCAGCTTCGCCATTAGCCTATCTTATTTATAATTTGATATAAATTATGATAATCATAATATTACTAAAATATGTGTGTATTTAGTTAATAAAAATTCTATAAATAATGTGAAATATTAAAATACTAAATATTTTATAGATTAAATAATAACCATTCCATTCTGATAAAAATCATAACTTAAAATAAATATTATAAATAAATTTGTGATATAACCTAAATGCCTTCAGGTAGTTAGACCCATTATCAGTAACCATCTTGCAAACTTTATTATGAATCCTAAAAGACTTGTGGATGTCAATAATTTTATTTGCAAGTACGTCATATGTCTGGCATCCTATAATCCTTTTAAGGGCTAAGGCTACAGATCTTCTTTTTAAAGTCCTAGGGTCTAACCAATGGCCTGTGATTCCCAAATAAGCTCTAAAAATATTTAATCAGATCAATTTATAAATATAAATAAGTTTTTACCTTCTGTTATGTGTCCAACTATCTGCCGTGGTACATACATAAGATATATATGATAACTCTACTATTAGAGCATCTTTCATCACTTTGAAGTTGTCGGCTATTTTATTCATAAGTGTCTGGCGACATAAAACTGTTGTGCCAGGGGATAAAGTTTTAATCATCAGAGTAAATGATGGATTATCAACCAAAGACACTGGCTGAACTGTGTCAATAATAAAATCAACAATAACTTTATCAACCAATTTTTGTGAAATATTGGCATGTTTATTATCAGTTAATTTGGTTTGGATAGTATGTCTTTTTGAATGAAGATTCTCCTATACCAAATTTTTTTATATGTTTCTCTATTTCCTTATAGCAATTGGCGTGAACAGTCTAATAAAATAAATAATATTATAATGTAAAAATAACAATTTACCTTTAGGTGTTTCTTCAGGTTATAGCTACTCGATTGATTTGATGATATATTTTTTTTACATTTTAAGCACATGAATTTGAATCCAGATTTTGTTTAATATTTATTTTAAAAAATTTTTCAAATTTAGGGAATGGAAAAACGTTATTAGAGCTATTAAGTACATTTTCTTCCATTGAATCTTCCATATCTGAATCACTTTCAAGGATTTGGATATCCATGGACGATGCCATTTTAGATTATTAACACAGATTGAAAATATAAATTAAAAATTGAAAATATATTTAAATTTCAAAATTAAATAATAAATTATAAAAATTATAATTAATTATGATATTATATTTAAATTTTCATGTTTATACTTACATTCATTATATTTTTTAAAAGTAGCGAAGTAGCGCGCTACTTAGCTACTTTTAAAAAAAGTAGCTCGCTATAAAATTAAATAATTTAAAAAAAGTAGCGGCTATTAGCTATAGCTACCAAAAAAGATAGCGCGCTAAGTAGCGCGCGCTACTTTAACAACTCTGTTTTTTACCTATTACGATTGTATATAATAATATGTAATATAAATGGTATTTTATTATTGACAAATTATGATTGAAATATTATCTAGATATAATAAATACACATTGAACTTTTCCAAATTATAGAAGAGTGTTTAAAATTAACTATAAAATTTAATTTAGATATAAATGATTATATATTTTAATAAAAATTAAAATTTTGTCATGTAAAAATTTTTTGAAAATTTCATCAAAATTTTATTTCTTAAATAAAATCTTTAATAAATTAAATATTTCAAAAGATTTTTTGTCTATAGATGTAAACTAATAAAAACTATATTAGGATATTTAATTTTGAAATGAGATTAAGTGGTTTGCCAAGCCCGGGGTCCTAATCCCAGTCTCCCATATACAAAACATATAAAATGATAAATTTTAACTATTAATGTAAGATTAGAAAGTTATTTTAAAAAACTTATTACTAACATAAATGAAAAATAAATTATAATTATAATATTTTCTAATTCATCAATCAGATTTAGAACACTCAACTTTGTTTGATTTTTTAGCTTTTTAACACATTGATTTAATATGATATATATCTATCTATCTATAAATGTGAACGTTTTCGTATCTTGGTAATGTTAATTTTTTTTCTATCAACTTTGATATCTTCTTAACGTTAATTTCACTTTCCTATCTCCTAATGTTAAAATTTTTTTTTCTATCAACTTTCCTATCATCTTAATGTTAAATAAATCGAGAGCTATTATTATCTCGCTAAAAATTTTTTTTTAAATTTTTTATGGCAAAACGGGATTCGAACTAGCAACTTATCGTTCGGAAGGCATACGTTCTAACCATTGAGCCCCCCCCCCCCGTCAATTTTATATTTTGATATATTTGTATATATATATATTAAAAAAATTTTTTTATAAAATTAATTTAATTTAATCAGAATGACGAGGTTGATGGGTAATTACTAATTAGTTAGGTGTATACGATACTAAATATGCTTTATTAATATATTTCATAAAAATATTAATATTTAGGAGAAAAAGAGGTAAAAATGTTGCAATGTAAGGGTATTAGAAATATCATAATTTACATTTATGATAGAAATCAACTTGGGTAAAATTAAAAATAGATATCCTTGAAAATTTTTTAATTTTAAATATGGGCTAGACATTGGCTTTTTTAAATATTTTATTTGAATTCTCAACTACCAAAATTATTCTGAATCTCCTTGAAAAGCTAAACATGAATCTGCTTTTATTTTAAAAAAAACGGTTTTTTGACCGGGGACGCGTAGTGTTTTTGAAAAAAAAAAGTGTTTTATGAAAAAATCACTAAGTTATAAAATAGTTTAAAATATAATATATACATATTCTGTATTCTTTTAATGAGCTAAATATGAATCCGTTTTGATTTTTTTAAAAAAACTGTATTTTGACCGGGGACGCATAGGGATGCGTAGTTTAGCCAAAAAAAATTTTTTCGAAAAAATTTTTTTTTTAATTTTTTTTTATTAATACCATTTTCTGAATCTCCTTAAAAAGCTAAACATGAATCTGCTTTTATTTTAAAAAAAAAACAGTTTTTTGACCGGGGACGCGTAGTGTTTTCGAAAAAAAGTGTTTTTTGAAAAATTCACTAAGTTATAAAATAGTTTAAAATATAATATTTACATATTCTGTATTCTATTAATGAGCTAAATATGAATCTGTTTTGATTTTTTAAAAAAAACTGTATTTTGACCGGGGACGCGTAGTTTAGCCAAAAAAAAATTTTTTTTTTAAATTTTTTTTAAATTTTTTTTTATTAATACCATTTTCTGAATCTTTTTAAAAAGCTAAACATGAATCTGCTTTTATTTTTTAAAAAAAACGGTTTTTTGACCGGGGACGCGTAGTGTTTTTGAAAAAAAAAGTGTTTTTTGAAAAAATCACTAAGTTATAAAATAGTTTAAAATATAATATTTACATATTCTGTATTCTTTTAATGAGCTAAATATGAATCTGTTTTGATTTTTAAAAAAAAACTGTATTTTGACCGGGGACGCCTAGGGACGCGTAGTATAGCCAAAAAAATTTTTTTTTTAATTTTTTTTTATTATTACCATTTTCTGAATCTCCTTAAAAAGCTAAACATGAATCTGCTTTTATTTTTTAAAAAAAACGGTTTTTTGACCGGGGACGCGTAGTGTTTTCGAAAAAAAGTGTTTTTTGAAAAAATCACTATGTTATAAAATAGTTTAAAATATAATATTTACATATTCTGTATTCTTTTAATGAGCTAAATATGAATCCGTTTTGATTTTTTAAAAAAAACTATATTTTGGCCGGGGACGCGTAGTTTAGCCAAAAAAAAAATTTTTTAAAAAAATTTTTTTTTAAAATTTTTTTTATTAATACCATTTTCTGAATCTCCTTAAAAAGCTAAACATGAATCTGCTTTTATTTTTTTAAAAAAACGGTTTTTTGACCGGGGACGCGTAGTGTTTTTGAAAAAAAAAGTGTTTTTTGAAAAAATCACTAAGTTATAAAATAGTTTAAAATATAATATTTACATATTCTGTATTCTTTTAATGAGCTAAATATGAATCTGTTTTGATTTTTTAAAAAAAACTGTATTTTGACCTGGGACGCGTAGGGACGCGTAGTTTAGCCAAAAAAAAATTTTTTTTTTAATTTTTTTTTTTAAATTTTTTTTATTAATACCATTTTCTGAATCTCCTTAAAATGCTAAACATGAATCTGCTTTTATTTTTTAAAAAAAAACGGTTTTTTGACCGGGGACGCGTAGTGTTTTCGAAAAAAGTGTTTTTTGAAAAAATCACTATGTTATAAAATAGTTTAAAATATAATATTTACATATTCTGTATTCTTTTAATGAGCTAAATATGAATCCGTTTTGATTTTTTTAAAAAAACTATATTTTGGCCGGGGACGCTTAGTTTAGCCAAAAAAAAAATTTTTTGAAAATTTTTTTTATTAATACCATTTTCTGAATCTCCTTGAAAAGCTAAACATGAATCTGCTTTTATTTTTTAAAAAAAACGGTTTTTGACCGGGGACGCGTAGTGTTTTTGAAAAAAAAAGTGTTTTTTGAAAAAATCACTAAGTTATAAAATAGTTTAAAATATAATATTTACATATTCTGTATTCTTTTAATGAGCTAAATATGGATCTGTTTTGATTTTTAAAAAAAAACTGTATTTTGACCGGGGACGCGTAGGGACGCGTAGTATAGCCAAAAAATATTTTTTTTTAAATTTTTTTTTATTAATACCATTTTCTGAATCTCCTTAAAAAGCTAAACATGAATCTGCTTTTATTTTTTTACGGTTTTTTGACCGGGGACGCGTAGTGTTTTTGAAAAAAAAGTGTTTTTTGAAAAAATCACTAAGTTATAAAATGGTTTAAAATATAATATTTACATATTCTGTATTCTTTTAAAGAGCTAAATATGAATCTGTTTTGATTTTTTAAAAAAAACTGTATTTTGACCTGGGACGCGTAGGGACGCGTAGTTTAGCCAAAAAAAAAATTTTTTTTTTAATTTTTTTTTTAAAATTTTTTTTATTAATACCATTTTCTGAATCTCCTTAAAAAGCTAAACATGAATCTGCTTTTATTTTTAAAAAAAAACGGTTTTTTGACCGGGGACGCGTAGTGTTTTCGAAAAAAGTGTTTTTTAAAAAAATCACTATGTTATAAAATAGTTTAAAATATAATATTTACATATTCTGTATTCTTTTAATGAGCTAAATATGAATCCGTTTTGATTTTTTAAAAAAAACTATATTTTGGCCGGGGACGCGTAGTTTAGCCAAAAAAAAAATTTTTTAAAAAAATTTTTTTTTTAAGTGTCTGATGAAGAGGCCAGACGGAGTGCCCCTTTTATATCTAAATTATCGATTTTTTTTCTCATTAAATTTACTTTTATCTTAAAAGGATTTATGGATAACTTAGGTGTGGAAGTTATGTCCATTGAAATGTTGTCTAGATCATTTATCCTGTTCTTAATTTGTTGAGTGAGGGACAGTTTGCTTTTGTCAGTTGGAACCTGAAAGGCATGGAAGCCAAATAAGAGAAACTCTTTCCAGTGCTGTGGGGAGTTAAAATTGGTTAGAAGGTTATTAATAGTTTTAATATATGATTTAGCCGCAAGAAGCCTGGCTTCCCGTGGGATTCTTGAGATAATATGAGATTTAGGTAAATTCATCGGAGAAGGAGGGTATTGGTTACTCATTGGAAGTACAGGGTGAGTCCTCATTAACAGATAAATTATTAATTGTGGTG